CTACAAGGATGCTCTGGCCACCTTTTTAAAGCCAGAATTTACACTGCCATTTAACCATATTTTAGATAAAAGAAAAATAAGTGAAAAGTTAGTTTATTAAATCAAAAATTGAATAATGTATAAAAAGATTTAAAAAATGACAGCTTAAGGTAGTTAGTTAAAAAAGAAAAAGACTAGAAAGCAGAAAGAATTTCCAAAATATTTTGTAATCATGTTTAGAAATCTGATGCCCCTTACTTGGAGAGGGGTGTTATATGTAAATATGGTATAGTAAGGGACATTTAGACTGGAGTTGCCTTATATTGTGATATCTCTTGGAGATCTCTGTTTATAACACTGAATATGTTTTGTTTTGTTTTTTACTGAAAGACTGAAAGATTTGTTTCAAATAGCACCTAATCTGAAATACTTAGTACCCCGACAGTTCCTCATAGGTTCCAAAGTGGACTTAATTGATCAGTCTGAAGCAAGCTTGGTGTTCCTTTTAAATATTTGGCCAATTTTCCTGCTCTAGCTAAATAAATGTTGGAGGGCCTCAGGGCTAGATTCTTAACATTCTTCTCTTATCTATGCTTTATTCTCAGATGATATGTCTGTTTTCTCGTTTTAAATACCTCCCATATGTCGATAAATCGCAGAAATGTTTCTCTCCAATTCTGATCTCTAGACTTCTATCACTAGGTACCTACTTAATATTTCCATTCAGAAGTAAATTAGCCGGGTCCAAAAGATAGCTCTTGCTTTTCCCTTCCAGATCTATTTGCTCATCAGTTTTCCTCAACTCAGTAAAACTCTCCACCATTCATACAGTTGCTCTCAAGCTAACAGTGTAGGGTCCATTCTTCATTCCTCCCCTTCCTTCATAACACCATCCCTACACCTGCTCCCCAACAGCCAACCAATCAGCAAGTCCTGCTGTTTCTACGTCCAAAATATATCCTGAATTTGTCCATTTCTCTTTGTCTCCTGCATCACTATCACTCTACCTCCAAATTACATAAGTTCTCACCTGTACAATTGCAATAACCACCTAAGTTTGCTCTCGTTTTCCATTTATGTCCCTCTATAATACATTCTCCTACAACATAAAAACCACGGTATATCACTGCTCCTCCAAATCCTCTGATGGTTTCTGTTGTGTTTAGAATGAAAATGGCCCTAGCTAGTGTGGATCAGTGAATTGTCAGCCTGAGAACCAAAAGGGTCGCCGGTTCGATTCCCAGTCAGGGCACATTCCTGGGTTGTGGGCCAGGCCCCCAGTGGGGGGTGCATGAGAAGCAACCACACATTGATGTTTCTCTTCCTCTTTTTCTCCCTCCCTTCCCCTCTAAAAACAAAATCTTTATAGAATGAAACTGAGCCTATGATTACTATGGGCTCAACGCCTTCTGCACCTCTCTGATCTGATCTCATCTCATCTTCTCTCTTGCTCTGCAAACTTATGCCACACTGCCTTCTTTCTGCTTTTTTTTTTTCACCTCAAGGCTCTTGCATTTTCTACTCCCTTGAAACTCTTCTCCCTGCATTTTGAATGATGGGTCCTTTTCACCTGTTGAGTGCTGCTCTCTTCCTGAAAATATTGCCAAAATAAGCTGTTGATAAAGCAAAACTAAGTTTTCTGCTTACTGCAGTAAGGAAAAATACGACCTTGACAGATCTTAACAGTGTCACTAAGGGGGAAGGGCAATGATGAGAGGCTTATGCAATTTGGGAGGTGTAATTTGACTTTTTAATGTGAAGACCTGATTGGTGTTGGATCAAGCCTGCAAAGCTGATGGGGAAATCTCGAGTCAGGCACCCATCAGACTCCTTCTCACAGAAATGGGCCTGTCTTATATCTTTGCCATGCTCAGCCATTGGCTGGGAGCAGCCTGTGAGAAGCGTAGTTCTTGCACAAGCACCATGGTAGATCCAGAGGACGAAAACTGACCCATTTGTCAACTACTCCACCTATAGTAAGAGCTCTGAGTAGCTCATTTTCACACCTGCCGTAGCCCACCCATTCACTGAACAAATTTATCTCTTCCCACAGGTTCAGGATGCAGGTCTTCCATGGTTTTTGTGAGCCTATCTTCCTGAGGGGTATCTCAGGAGAGATCTCCACCACTGCAGTTGGTCTTTGTGGAGTTACAACTGGTACTCACGTCCTACCTCTTCCAGTAGCTATTCTAATTTCCCTCACCGTCAGCTCTGACCTCACCAGGGCCTGGTGGCTCACTGGAGGCATGACTCAAATGTCAACTCCTGAAGGAAGGGTCTGAGTCATCATATTGTTCCTATGCTGACATCACTGCATGTGTCCACAATAGCGGCTGGAGTACACAAATGGATCATCTGGGCTCCGCCTGTACTCCTACTTCCTCCTACTGAAAATGTCACTCACCCCTGCAAGAATGCTGATGCTGCTTCTTACCTGCTGGTGTCTGAATAAAAGGGCTTCAAAGTGCACTGACAGCAGCCATATCTTGTTGTTCAAAAACAAACAAACAGCCCTGACTAGTGTTGCTCAGTGGACTGAGTGTCCCCCTGCAAACCAAAAGGTTGCCTGTTTGATCCCGTCAGGGCACATGCCTGGGTTGTGGCAAGTGCCAGGTCAGGCAGCGTTCAAGAGGCAACCTATTGATTTTTCTCTAGCACACTGATGTTTCTCTTCCTCTTTCTCCTTTCCCCCTCTCTAAAAATAAAATCCTTTTTAAAAATCTTCAAAAATCTGTATCAAATGTTGCATTAAGCTTGAATATTCCTCCATAGAAACTACTATGGGCAACTGGTGATTGGCAGATTCTTCACAACAATACACCAGCTCATACATCACAGCTTGTGCAGAGGTTTATGGCAAAACATTAAAAAACGCGGGTGACTCAGCCCTGCTACAGCCCAGATTTGCTGCTCACAACTTCTGGCTTGTCCCAAAACTAAAATCACCTTTGAAAGGGAAGAATTTCAGACTGTTGATGAAATTCAGGAAAATATAACAAGGCAGCTGATGGCAACTAGAAATGTGTGAGGTCCCAAGGTACCTACTCTGAAGGGGATTGAGGTGTCATTGCCCTATGTACAGTTTTTCATATTTCTATCTTCTTCAATAAGCATGTCCATGTTTCATTCAGCGTGGATGGACACTTTCTGGACAGGCCTTGTGAGGCCAGGCCACTCCACTTCTAGATGTTTGCCCAACAGACATGAAAGCTCATGTCTATACACAGGCTTTTACACAAATACAGCAGCTTTATTTGTAGTAGCCAAGAATTGTAAAGGACCCAGATGCCCATCAACAGGTGAATGAATAAACAAATTATGGTACTGTCATACAATAGGATACTACTGAGAAGTAAAATGGAATGAATTGTTTATCCTGTGACATAGATAAATCTCAAAATAACTATGCTGACAAGTCAGATAAAAAATATTCATACTATATGATTTAATTTTATGAAAATTTTAAACAAATTGATCTTCAGTGACAAAAGGCAGAACCATGTGTTTGGGGATGGTGGGGTGGGCTTTGGAAGAAGGGAGAAGTGGGGATGATTATAGGAATCTTTTGGGGGTGATGGATATGTTCATTATCTTAATTGTGGCAATGGCTGAATGTATGTATACATATATCAAAACTCATCAAATTGTACATTTAAATATGTGCGTTTTATTTTATGTCAATTACACCTCAGTAAAGATATTTAAAATAAAAACTGCTGGTACTGCCTCCCACTCTCCCCTCTGGTTTTAGAATTTATTTTTTTAGATATAATTAACATATAATATTGTTTAAGTTTAAGGTGTACCATATATATTGATTGATTTAAAGAGAGAAGAGGAAGAGAGAGATTAATTTGTTGTCTCATTTAATTAATGCATTCATTGATTGTTTCTAGTATGTGCTCTGATTAGGAATCGAATCCACAACCTTGGTGTATCAGGACGACACTCTAACCAACTGAGCTACCGGGCCAAGGCTAAGGTATACAGTATACTGGTTTTATAATTTGTGCATTACAATATGATTACCATCATAGTGCTCACTAACACCTCAATCTCATCACATAATTATTTTTTTCATGGTGAGAACAATTAAGACCTAACGTTTGACAATTTTTGAAATTTATAATACAGAATTGTTGACTGTAGTCACTATGCTGCACATTAGATCATCAGGAATTTGGTTGTAAGTTTTCACCCTTAGAGAGTATCTCTCCTGCACTCATATCCATATCACATTCTCAAAGGTTTTCCGTAATACCACAGAATGTATTTAGTGTTCTCATTAATCAGTATAGGACCCATTAATAACTAAGATTTTTTTAAATTCTGATTTTATTCCTGAAGTTTTAAGAATTAACTGAGCAACAAGTATTTCCATTATTTAACAATAGAATTCATAGCTAACATGTATGTGGCAAAAGAACAATAAGGTTTTGTCACTGTGACTACATTAACTAAGCTGAACTGCAGACATTTAGATATCCAAACGATATACTATTTAAAATGTCTGAAGCCTAAATGAGCTGATGGAGTAGAGTAAATGCAAGTCCCCCCCTTCTGGAGGGAGAAAGATTTTATATGGTCCCAAAAAACAGGCAGAAGGGAATTTGAAAAAAAAATAAAAAAGAGAGGAAGACAATTAATGATCCCTCTTTTTAACATACTCCTGTCATTACTCCAAAAATATAAAGCTGTACTTGAAAATGTCACAGTACCAAAATGTGGGGGGAAAGACTTACTTAGCCCTCTCTTCACACATTGTTTTAAAATGTTGATGGTGGGCTGAGTTGAGAATGCTAAATGCATATATACCCCCAAATGTATTGATAACAGGAGTTACTGGTAGTTGTGCTTAAAAACTTTCAGGTTCCAAAGTGAACATAAAATGTACAGTCAAAATTTTCAGATATTAGAGTATTTATTCAACATCTTCAAGATGAACAAAACCACTACTATCCCCCAGGAAAGTATAAAAAGAAAACTAAAAAGTTTAAGGGGGAAAAAACACTGTATTTTAATGAAAAAAAAATTATAACAAGGACACTATACATTAAATTACTATATATACATACACACACACTTTAAAAACCTTTTAAAAAATTCTGGTACAAATTAAATAACATCTTTCTCATACTCACATGATTAAGTAGGTATTTTGACAGAATATAAAGGTGAAATACAAGCTGGCAGGCCTCAAAATTAGAAACTTCAGTGCTAGGACAGATCCCAAAATCTGATTTCTATCACTTTCATGACTTTTAGAAAATATTTACATAGTATAAGACTTACAAGCTTTTTCTTTTAAGTATGTTAACTGCTTACACAGAATATTAGTGCTCAGGAAAATGCCCACATGACAGTGTTTATCTATAATTCATTGTAGTATACATAAAGTTCACTGGGAGACTTGGAACATAAAAACTACAATGAAGAAGCAGGCTCATCTGTAATTATGAATTTCTAAGTGCTTATTTTGAATGTCCAACCGACTGGACATTACAAGGTCCATCACACCTTGTAATACATAATAAAAAAGAGCACTTCTCAGACTTTGCTGTAGAGCTGTTAGGAGAATGCTGAATATAGATACTGAAAATTTTATGCACTTGCATTAAGTACCCTATACATTTTAAAAATAACTAAATATTTAAAATATGTAAACATACGTTTTAAACAGTGATGCCAAGCACCTTTAAAATGCAATACTGATACATTGTGACTGAACATGCATTTAGAGGACAAATGAACTTTTAAAAACTAATTTACAAACCATTTTTAAAGAGCTACTCACTGAAATACTTACATGAAAATATTGATAGTTCCAGTTTCTACCTAAAAACCAAAAGAGTATATAATTAGGGATTTAAACTTCCTTCATGCTTTTTTGTTTGTTTTTTATCTGTGAGGAGGATGCATAGTGACTTTTTGTGCTCATGTTAAAAAAAAAAGACCAGTATCAGAAGAGACACTCATGGAGAATAATGTGAGAGGAATATTTTTAAACTATGTTTTGTTCCTGGTCAAGTGCCAAAGTCTGAATCTTTGGGCATGTCTCATCCTTATCTGAAACGGACTAAAGTTTGTATCTCAACAAGCATTTCTCCTTAGCAACTCAACATCAAAAAATAAAGGAATGTTTCTAAAGAAATACAGTTCAATTGGTAAAATATTTAATAATCAATTATTTTCATTAATGAGAGGTGAAGGTCTATTATATAAAATCTTTTAAAAGTTTCCATAAAAACTAGAAATAACAAATAAAAAACATTACCTATAATGCAACACTAAACTATAAATTAATTTGGACTTATTCCCTTTAAGTACACACAGACTAAGAGAAATCTGCGTTTGAGGTAATTAATAGTTGTGTTTAACTTAGCATAACATAACAGATTTGGCAGCCTAACTCTATAAATGCCCGCAGCAAATATTTTCATTTCTTAGGAAAATGATAAGCAAGTCTTATTAAAAATTATATATGTAACTGAATATTAACTTTGCATTAAATGTTTAAATAATAAATTTTATATTAAGTAGGATATATATCTAAAGGGCAAAGAATTTTTAAATTCCACCCACTTCTAATATAACAGTGTTTTATAATGATACATATTGTAAACTGGAAACTATTAAAGTGAATTTAGAACGGGAGATTAGACTTATAAAAGCCAAAAAACTCATATTTGTGTAAAGTATTATTGTTAAATTTCATATTATATTCCACATGCTTTGAATATTAAACATTAAAATCCATTTGAAATCCTTGTTACTTTTAAATATATCCACAGATGGTCTCCGGGGGACAGGTGCGGGGAGGAGGTCTTTAGGTTGATTTCTTGACAGTTATAATTGATGTTTCTAGTTTACCAACCTTCTAGAAAACAGAAGCTGATATTCAGTATTTGAAGTAAATATACTTACTCAACAAGCAAATATATATAACACATCAGTTGTTATAAGTTTTAATATAAACTAAATTTTAAAATGTAAGTACTTACCTTGAAGTACTATAAATTCTAATACCATCATTTCAGTAAGAACTCTGGCATAAAAAAATAAATACAACTCAAATTCTTTTTTAACCAGGGCTGAATCTTCAATATAAAATAGGAAAAAAGTTCTCTGCTGATATCAAAAAATTCCCTAAATTATCTGTAAACACCCTGAAATGTTATTATTCTTTCAGAATTCTCTCAATTTCTACTATATTTTTCTACCCATAAGTAGAATTGTACTATAATACTGCATAATCCATGCGATATATATTTATTTCTGTTGGTTATTTGATTAATTTGAGTAAAATTCTCAGTACTTACCAAGATCCTTTACATTTCTACTAGATGACCATTAGTAAGCTAATGGTTTGTAGTTGCAAGGATAAAGATCAGAATGGAAGAAACTAAAATGCAACAACAGTTTCCACAGATGTCAATGCTGGGCTTTGTATTATGAAGTGAAATCTATTGTTTTATCTTTCCAAATGAGACAGATTACAAATCTTCTCTCACCTGTCTGCCAATGTAAAAAGATTTTTCACAACTTCAAATACGGAATAAGTTCTTTTAGAAATGAAAAAAAAAAGTCATCACACACACACATACACAGTTTGGGGGGGTTGTTTTGGTTTTTTTTTTTCATTTTTTAAGAGCCAAAATGGGTTAGTTCCAGGGGATAAGTTCGATAACTATTGGTGTTCAGGCTCTATTATCAGGGATAAGTTCAGAGGATCTTTTGAAATACTGGCCTTGCCAGGCACTCAAAAAGCATAAGAATTATACAAAAAGGTGTAAAATATCTCTTAAGGTAAAAATATGGGATTGGCAACAAATATATCAGTTTTAAATCAAAGTTGCTTATTGAACCAGTCTTCTGTCCACTTATCACACTGCTGAGTTTAACAATATTCACCTTCTTTTCTATGACATCAGAAGTCACCAGAGTTGTACAATTATGAAAAGCTTCAATAATTTATGTAGCAGATAATTTCTTACAGTCCAAACGTTTTTTTGCTTCCATAGACAATGCTGGTTCTTTGGGTTCTTGCTTAACTTGATTCACAGAAATGGTACCTTCTGGATTTTCTTCAACTTTAAAACCAAACATAAAAGAAAAACCAAGAAGGTTAATGTAAACTGTAACACTGGGATCTTCAGAATTATATGAATTTAAAAGCAAAGCATAAAACAGTCATTTGGAAAAAAGGACCAACTAATTTAGAAAAGCAGTTGATGTTTTTGGGAATTTAGTGCCTCTAACATCTTAATAGTCATTCATGTTAAATTCCTCCAATATGATGCTAGCAACAAACAGATGACACAAGAAAACTATGTAAGTTATTCTCCTCTAAAAAAACTTTGACAAAAAGCAGTCTATAATTTTATAAAATTAGAGGAATAACAAAAATTTAAACATACTTGTCTTTAAAAGCATGTGTAAATAAAAGTCAAGAAGTCTCCCATTATTTAAAAATGATTTGTTTCACAAACAGCAGACACAGGTATCACACGCTCATAGATGTGTTATCATTCCTACATGGTTTCCACATATGGCCAAATATTAAGAAAAATGTCCCCTCCTTAAAGAAACTTCACTACTTAAGTACTTAGAAAAATATACCACATCTTACATGATAGCTCTGCACAAGCTATGTGTTTGCTTATCTAAAATATTTCTGAATGGCCCTGGCTGGTGTAGCTCAGTGGATTGAGCAAGGGTCTGCGAACCAAAAGACCGCAGTTCGATTCCCTGTCAGGGCACATGCCTGGGTTGCAGGCCAGTTCCCTGCAGGGGCCTGTTCCCAGCAGGGCATGCACCAGAAGCAACCACACATTGATATTTCTCTCCTTCCCTTCCCATCTAAAGATAAATAAATAAAATTTTTAAAAAATTAAAAAATAAAATAAAATATTTCTGAATGCACTTACCACTCTGATTTCAAAGAACTTATGACCAAATTAACCTAAGTGTAGCACAGAGGTGGAGTATCTAAGATAAAATCTTTCTCTCTCCTTCTCAGGAATGTCAGATTTGCAGCTGCCATAGGGAGTTGAAGTTAAAGGGGCTATATCTGCTCAGAGTAGTGGTGTTAAACACACCTAAGGCTTGTCACATATAGGTGTGTTGGAGTTTAGCCCAAGCCAAAGGGAAAACCAGTAGAGGGTGAATTTAAATGACCTTGAGAATATTCTGGTGAAACTGTCCCTCATATAACGAGCTAACTTGACAAATCATGCAAGTTTAGATTCATAGAGGGTTTCCTTTAAAGCAATCTGAATTAGAGATCCCAAAAGTACTTTGGCACAATTCAGAGGGAAAAAGCACCTTAGAACAGAAAAAGCTTCAGAGACAGATAGATCTGAGTTTAAATTCCTTACTTGTCTGTTACTTAATATATGTGATCTTTAGGCAATCACTTTAATTCTTTGAGCCTTGGTTTTCCCATCTGTAGAATGGGGACACCATCAACTATTTTTATGGAGTTGTGGGATTAATTCGAGTATATTCCTTTTCTGTCTCTTCTACTAAAGTTCCTTGGTAGTGACAACTGCCACAGCCCTCTGGATAAATTTTCCTAGGAGGAATACTTCCAGTAAGTTTAAAAGATGATGAATCTTTTCTGGAAGGAACTATCTCACACTTTTCCTTACCCAGAAGACGAGGAAAGATATGTATTCTAAGGATAATTGCTATGAAGATTTTGCTTTTAAAGCAAACTGCAAGTCTTTTTCCACAAAAGTGCCCAATCCAGAGTAATTGGTAGGGAAAGAAGTGACACAGGTCAAGTAGTAGTTAGCAATGTGTCACTATGTTGACTGGGTTAATTACAAAGTGAAGGTAAGTAACAAAGTCATGTATTAAACTCAAGTCCCCAATTCTTACTAGTTCCCTTTTAATTTCCATGGAACTCAACACTTAAGTCAGTAACTTAAAATTTTTCTTCTAATCTTTATATCTGCCCACTTCATTCTATTTTCATTATGTGTATATTAATTTTTCCATAATATTCTTTATACTAAAAAGTTTCTCTTTTCTTTCATTTTCTCATGCATTCTAAAATGATCTTTCTGATCTGACATCACCACAGATTTTCTGTGTAAAATTAGGTACAGAATAAATAATTACAACAGATAAAAAATTAAGTTTATAAGTTATTAAAATTTATGCTCATGAAAAATTCCCTTTTTCTCACAGTTTTACTTGGCTTATTAAAAATTTATGAACCCACTGAGTAGAAATGATAGTTTTTTTCCATAGTGTAATAGTGATGATGGTCCATAAAGTTTTTTTAAAAATCATAACGATTTTAACTTACTAAGAGCTGGGTGGTTGTCTATAATCTGTATTGGAATGGTCTGCCCATTCCCCAACAGAATCCGATGAACACTTCCTTCCAGATTCTCTGCATCCTCAACATCTCCAACGTCCACCAGCTGATCCACTGCAACTAGATTTTGATCTGGTCCTGAAAGGTTCCCCCCAGTAGAGGCAGTACTGTTTTGGGTTAGGCATGTATCTGTTTGAAGGTTCTGACTTTGACCAAGCTGTAGAGAATTATTATTCATTATAGCACTTCCTATTGAATCCAGAAGTCTTGAAGGACTGGAGGAGGGGTGGTTATTTACTGGTATCAGAGCCGGTGATCCATCAGGAGAAGCGAATCTTGGTTGCAACTGTAAACCCTTTTAAAGCAAAAAGAATTACATCAAAATGTTTGAATTTACTATGTAAATTCTCACAGAATACATTATTCTTTTGATAAAAAATCAGAATAAAATATAGGAGTATAGTTAGTAACAAGTATTTAGTGAGGACAGAAACAAGAACCAAAGGAAAAGTAATACAACTAAATTTTATTGCATGCATAGTCAACTCAAACATTTTCAAAACATGTTGTTTAAATTATTATGTTAAATCAAGATACAAAAAGCTAGGATATTAATAATGAAAATATATTTGATCGTTATTATAATTCTATAATAATTTTGTAAGATCCCTAAGAGAAGAAGAAGGGAGATGGAAGAAGAAAGAAAAGGGCCTCAAATTTGGCTATTATACTGGATTTCTACCTGTAGTTGTGTGAATATTTTTGGCTGAAATGAAGAAAGTGAGGAGAGCAAGTGGGCTGGTTCTGGTGACAAATAATTCCTTTTCCGATTTGTTTCCTCTTTAGTGGTAGTTGATTCTCCTGGTGAATTTCCTAAATTATATAAAAAATAAACTATTAAAACAAAAAATGTTATTATTTCAAGGATACTACACTTTATTAAAGCCCTATGAGAATCAGAATAAAAAAATAAGGTCAAATGTTTGAAAAGACATTAAGAAGTTACCTATCCACTATTTCCAGAACTTGGTATATAATCAGAATCACTATAGGAACTCTAAAAAAATATAAAATCTTAGGTTCAACCTCCACTAAATTTAATATATATATAAGGATATATATTAAATTCAGTATATATAGGATGGAGTATGAAATAATTTTTTTTCATTGAAAGACTCTACATCTATAACTGTAATCAAGTCCATTTTCCATGCCATGATTCTGGATTATACCTAAACTTCTCTAGGATGGATTTAAGCACTGGCTTTTTTCTATAACTTTCAACATGCTATTTAACACAATTTTTAAATTTCAGTTTCCTCATCTGTAAAATGAGGACAATAAGAGACTCTTCCTCAAAAGACTACTGAGGAGATTAAACATTACTCTCACATTTCTTTGCTTCTTCATTTCTAATTGTCCTTCTACTTCACTCTGCTACTATTACCATGGTCATACCGTGGACTATTCTACATCTAAAATCTCCAATTCAAACATCCCATTCTCTGCTCACCACCTCTTAGTATCCTAGGCATTTTGCTCAGGTACTCCACTACAATTGTTCTTCAGCCTCATGTAAACTTCCAGTCAATTTCTTAAGATAAAATTCTTTCCCCATCTAGCTTGTAAATTGTAATTTTAGTCACATTCTTGCAAATATCCCAATCTCGATCGCCTCTCTGTCCTTTGGTCATACCTACCTACCTGGTGAAATCCTGACTCTGGATGAAAATGGCTTCCACTTGCCTGTACATGTGAAGCCAAACGCCACTGAAGAAACTCACTGCTACTAACACCAATCCATGATCATGGACATTAACCTGACTGTCACCTATATCTGACAACCTTACAATGTTTCCCTTACTTTATATTAGGGATGATATCTAATCTCCATTTTCCTAAACTCTTGGCCACCCTTCCTGAGATCTCTCACTCTCAGCACTCCTACTTATAAAAAGAAGCTATCAGATAGAAATCTCCTCAGTTTCCCATCACCAAGGCTATCAAGTACCCTCATCTTCAGCTATTTCTCAGATTGCTCCTGTCTTACATCTTCCCTCAACCTCATATTTCCTTCACAGTAAACTTCTTGAAAAAGTGGTCCACACTGCCCTGGCTGTGTGGCTCAGTTGGCTGGAGCAACACCTTGTACCAAAAGGCTGCAGATTCAATTCCCAGTCAGAGCACATACCTAGGTTGCAGGTTCAATCCTCAGTTGGGGTGTGGGAGGCAAGAGATCAATGTTTCTCTCTCACATCAATGCTTCTCTTTCTCTCTCTCTTCCCCTGCCCTCCTCCCTCCCTCCCTTTGTCCCTAAAATCAATAAACATAACCTCTGGTAAGGATTTTTTAAAAAGAGTGGTCCAAAAAATAAATAATAAATAAAATAAAATAAATAAACTAAACTAAAATAAAAAAATAAAGAGTGGTCTACATTGTCTCGACTTCTTCATTCACCTCCCATTTGCTCCTCAACCACCTCATATGGCTTCTTTCCAATCCACTCTATTGAAAGGGCTCTGATATGCAAGCTTTCCAAACCTGACCTCAAGATCTTTTTTACTCTGCCCTGTGGCCACCAATACCTAGTCTGATGTCAGTGTTGCTAAGCTCAGTAAACATCACTGTCAGTCAGTTGCTCGTGGAAGAAATTCAAGAGTCATTCTATATCATTCCCACTCTTTACCTCTTGTATCTATTCAGTCAGTAACCAAGGCCCTTGAGTTCTTTTTACAGTAACTCTTAATTAAATCTTTCCAACTCCAATATAAATGCTACCACTGTAGTTAAACCACTGTTGCCTTTCAAATGGACAGCTCCTCAATCTGTTTTGCTTATCCAGTCTTATCTCTAAGTTCCCTGAATATGACAAACTTTTTCTTGTTTAGCCTTAGAACATGCTACTCTTCTGACTGTCAAATTCCTATTTTTCAGTTCTTAGTTTAAAAGTCACTTTTTCAAGTGTCACTTTCCTAGTCCCTGAATTAAGTTTTCACAATTTTGCTATTCCCACACAATTTTGCAAAACTATGTCATGGCACTTTTCCTAATAATAATTAATTAGACTATATTTATTTACTGTCTTTTCCTCTTGCTAAACTTGAAAATTAAATGAAGAAATATATGTTTTCTTTTTTATGCCCGGTATTTATCACAGTGAGTGAAGTATGTGCAGAACAAATGAATAATGCTAAAGAATTTGAAAGTTATTCTGTAGGCAGTGACTCAAAGGTTAATAAGCCTAAGAATAAAGAAATTATTGCATTGCATGTAGTTCTTGATAAACTTATTCTAAAGCATTTATTTAGGTATCAACTTTTTAGCAAGTATTATGCTATGAATTAGGTGTATTAATTTGAATAAAATATAATCCTTGCCCCCGAGAAGCTCAAATCATAATAAAAGATACAGATGTGTAAAAAAAAGAATACCATGTAAAATGAAGGAGTAAATACAAAAGAGTGAATACCTAACTTTATACAAGGGGTAAAGTTAAGAGTGCACTTAAAGCCGAAGAGATTGTTATCTGAGCAGTGAGTGAAATCTGCCACACAGAAGAGGAGAAGAGACATTTCCAGAAGAGAGAACAAAAGAAGAGAGAAATGAGATTGGGCTTTGAGAGAACACAGGAACACAGGAGTAAGAACATAGGAGTAAGAACACATGAGAAAAAGCAAACAACAGAAAAGGAATAATAATTCCTGATCACAGTATTTTAGGGTTAGTACTATTGGAACTAGCCTAACTTTAGTAAACTGTGCTAATAATCAGACTCAAAATTCCATCATAAAGAAGCATTATGGCTAATTATAAGAGGAAATTTAAATAGCTGGAATTATTTTGATAAGTTCCAACACAGTTGCTCTTGTCTCTATTATCCATAAAATTTGATGAGATAGTATTTTAAATGTCTTCCAACTTTAACATTGTTTGATTTTATATTTTAAAGGTATTTAAGATAACCTACCTTCTGCAAATGTAACTGTCACAGTCTCTCTGAGAATATTCCCACTGTCTGAAGTCCACTGGAGCTAAAAAGGGAACATTCACTTCAGTAAAATACTGGAAAATATTTTAAACCATCAATACAACTGTCATATTTTATTTTCATAGTATAATTATATTTTTTCTATAATTACTCTCTTCAGTTGTTCATATTCTCAATGCACAAGTATACTTCACTATTCAAATACATTAGTTTCCTAAGTTCAGATAGCAAGACTTTGACTAGCAAGTGAAAGTGGCAAGGACCATTGCTTACTAAACCAATTTTCGTTCCTGAAGTTTGGATAGCGAATAATTAAGAGTTCTGGATAGCCCTGGCTGGTGTGGCTCAGTGGACTGAGTGCCAGCCTGTGAACCAAAGGGTTGCCTGTTTGATTCTCAGTCAGGACACATACTTGGGTTGCAGGCCAGGGCCCCAGTAGGGGGTGCAAGAGACACAACCACACATTGATATTTCTCTTCCTTTCTTTCTCCCTCCCTTCCCCTCTCTCTAAACATGAATAAATAAAATCTTTAAAATATATATACTGGAGAGCAAAGAATAGTAGCTCTAGCATAATATATATCTAAATCTATTCAGCTACTGAATTTAGATAGTAAAAATGTGGAAAGCAAAATATATTGCTGCTGAGATTTTAATGCCGTAACACTGCCTGCATTACAATTAGTATTTTCTGGGTAATTATAATAATCTCTTCAGAGTAGGAAAAATTCTCAAAGAAATGACGAATACTCAGGGGGAAAAATACCACAGTATGAGATAACACTAATATCCATAGATGGCATATAGAACTAACATTATTAATTTGTTTATTCAAGTCTAAACTATTCTTCTTAAATGTACATATCTACTTAAAGAGGACAAGATAGACACAGCATGTAATCAATAAATGCCTATTAAGTGAATAGGATATACTTTTTATAGAGATAAACTATGTTGATTTTTAAATAAAGATTACCATTGTTATTATAAGTCAGAGTTGGAAACCTACTGGTTTTTCTTGTGAGGATAATTAAAAAAATTTAGTCAAATCATCATTTAAGAATTCATAGTATTTACATTTTAGGAAAAAATACCCCTATTTTTCTTACATCATAGTTATTTTCATAGCCTAGCAGCAAACCAGCACTATCATATTAGTCCAAATAGTAATAGGAGTTAAAAAGATTTGATACTAAAACATACCGTTGCTGGAATAATCTCTGAGTTGTAAACATTATCTCCATTTCTCAAAGATTTCTGTACTTCATGGATGTGATTTTTTATATCATTTACAGTTGGAAAAAAGGATAAATTATGTCTTTCAGGTACCTCATCAGGTTTGAACAGCTCCCTTTCCACAAATTTTCTGTGCAGAATATGAAATGGAACAAAACATAAGTAAATCTAGCAATTTACTTTAGATCACATGAGAGATGGTTCTCTTTTAGCATAAACTTGTGTAAACATGGTTTACACCTTTACAAGTGGTTTATATATTTCAGTTTTTAATTTTTGTCCATACATTAAATCATAGGATTCATGCAGATTAAAGAAATGTAGTATTTACATTGGTTAAACAACTGTGTATCTTAGAATGAGCTTTAGATTTTTATGAATTTAAAGGAATCACTATTTTCCCTTTTTTTATTCTTACTCGACATTTTTTCATTGCTGTCAGAGAGGAAGGGACAGAGAGGAACATCAATACAAGAGAGAAGCATCAATTAGTTGCCTTCAGAACACTCCGGACTAGAGATCACACAAGCCTGGCCAGAGGATGGTACTCGCCTGGACCAGGGATTGAACCTGTAACCCTTTGGTTAACAGACGATGCTCCAACCAACTGAGCCACACCAGCCAGGGCAAAGGAATCATTATTTTCAACTTAAGCATAGTTTTGAATGTTTACTAGGTCAGGCACTATAAATCAAGTATTTCCTTTAAGCCTTACTATAATCCTTGGAGGTACAATTAGCATTCTCACTTTACAGATAAGAGAACTGAGTACTGCCACAGTTCTGTAATTTGCCCAAAATTATATGCCCACTTAGTAAGTAAAAGAGCTTGGGCCTACACTCAGGTTATCTGCGTAAATATTGTTATATTCCTTCCAAAAGGCATCAATTAATACCACATAAAGTCTAATCTGCTTACCCTGGCCAGGTGGTTCAGTTGGCTGGAGTGTCATCCCCTATACCAAATGGTTGCGCTTCTGAGCCCTAGTGGAGCATGTATGGGAGACAACTGATTGATGTTATTCTCTCACATCAGTGTTCCCCCCTCCCCCAACTCCCTCTCTCTTTCTCTCTCTCTCTAAAATCAATAAAAACATATCCTTAGGTGAGGATTAAAATTTTTTTTGAGGCAGGGGAGAGCAATCGGGGAAAATTGGGACATCTGCAATAAAACAATAATTTTTTAAAAAAACAAAAAAAGAATTTAAAAAGTAAAGATTTTATTTTACCTTAAATTTTTTTTGAAAAATATGATCTGCTTGCACTTTACAAGCATACAAAAGATAGAAATAGAAGGCAGCGTTGCCACATAACTGTATAAAAATGGATACATAAAAGAAATGATCAAGTTATATATATAAATAGATTATATATACTATATATATAACATTATGTTCAGTAGACTGTAGAACAGAGCTATAACATACCCTAGTTCTTAAGGTTCAGGTTTTGTAAATAGTGGATGGTTTTGCCAAGTTCTAGTTCTATTCTAACAATGTCTCGATGGAAATATAAAATGTTTAAGAAATCTGCTAAATAAAAAAGTAGTGTATTAATTAAGAAATAATTCATGAAGCCCTAGCTAGTGTGGCTCAGTTGTTTGGAGCAACGTCCTGTAAACTGAAAAGTCTTGGGTTCGATTTCTGGTCAGGCACATGCCTAGGTTGCGGGTTCAGTCCCCAGTCAGGGCACATATGACAGGCAACCAATCAATGTTTCTCTCTGGCATCCATGTTTCTCTCCTCTCTCTCTCTCTCTCTCCTTTCCCCTCTCTATAAAATCAGTAAGCATGTCCTTGAGTGAGATTTAAAGAAAAAAAAAAAAGAAAAAGAATTCATGGAAATACTCACTGTGTTATTCAGATCAGATCATGCAATAACCAGTACAAACAAGGTCAGTTAGGTTCCAGAAATACCAGCAATGAGCACAAGCTGTAGAGTCAGACCTAAATTTCGGTTCTGCCTCTACTTCTTAAGCTAGTTAACCTCTCTGAGTCTCCCTTTTCTCATCTGCAGGTCAGGGACAAATATACGAACTTTATAGTCCTAAGAATAAATGAGGTCATGCATAGAAGGTGCCTAGCACAATACCTGGTACACACTGACTACATGACAATAATAGTTAATTATTATATCCTGAGTATCAATAAAATTAGTCAGGACTGCTACATAAGAGCTTTCATAGACAAAGAACTATCTATATTCTTTTGTTGTAACAAAATTTAATTTTATTTCAAATAGCTTCTAATACCTTGGCCTAGAGATTTTAAAATCTTTGATTCTGCATAGATGTTTTTCTGCAAAGGCATTTATTACATAATTCAATTCATATACCATTTAGAAATAGTTCAATCTGGCAAACCTGTATATGGAATATCTTAAATGATATTCCATATCATTTAAGATAAGTAAGTCAAATCATTATATGGCTTGCCAAGCATCTGCTGGAAAATGATCAGCTAATATTAAGATTTTTAAAAATACTTTATTTATTTTTAGAGAGAAGGGAAGGGAGGGGGAAAGAGAGGGAGAGAAACATCCATGTGCAAGAGAAACATCAATCAGCTGCCTCTCACACACCCCAACAGGGTTTTGCATGCCCCCAAAGGGTCACCTGTCCCGAACCCAGGCATGTTCCCTGACTGGGAATCGAACCAACTTTCAGTATGTGGGGTAATGCCCAACCCACTGAGTCACACCAGTCCGGGCAATAAGATTTTAATAAATTAATATATATTCCTTATCTACTTTAATTGCATATATCCCAGGAATATTTATAATGTTAATATTTAAAGTAACAAAAATGGAAAACATTGTTTCTACTGTACCTTAGCTGTTTCCTTACTGCATACACTTGTTCTATTCCCTGTGATACTAATTCTTGAATCTTCTGTGCTACTTGAGGATGCAGACGTGAGGGTAATGTACAGTTCTCATCTCTAACTGTAGTTTCCTCTTCTTCAAGAGACGGCACAGGAAAAGGGGAGGGTGACAAAGGGAGGGAGGGAGTCTCTAATTCATGATACTGATGAGCTTGCTGTGTAGGTAACTGTACATACCACCTGACAAGAGAAAATATTTAAAATTATATTACTAGTCAAAGGCAAGAATCATAATTACCTATGTTAATACTCATTAAGAGAAGGAATACTCTTTTAAGAAAAAATTTATATCATATCATATAGAATACAAATTCAAAATGTACTCTGCTTAACTCTTCTAAGATTGGCTTTAAACCCAATTAATACAAATTTTGTTTTGCTTTGTTTTTTTTACAGACTTTTTACTATGGCCCAAACATTAAAGAGGGTAGAGGATTTAAGTATATATGGAAATGGTATTTTAAATCTCATATTAAGTAAATTTCACCTCAGAATAATGACTTTTTACATCATCTTTTTAAATGTACATTTTCCCATTTTTCTACCACTTTGTTTCCAGATTACAACTTCTGTGTTTTACCTATTATCCTTCCAACCAAAGAAGGGATATAATTCAGTATATCGAAACTGAGCTACGTGGGAGAATCTTCTCTGACAGGAGCCCCGTGAACTGTCACTAGAGCAAGCACTGCAGCTCCTGTTATCCCAATGAGCAAGACAATGAACTAAAAGGCAAATACAGGTCTCTCGTACAGTAGGGCACTGCAAAAACACTAATGCTAAGAAAATAAATTGACCTACTAGGATGCTGTTTTAATATACTTAGGCAAGATGCTTGCAATGACTGATATTGCATGAAATGGAGCCTACATAAAAATCATCCGCAATGTTCTCCAAACTAAATGATCTCATTATTGACTCGACTCATTTTTCACCTATATGAAAGTTTTTTTTTAAGATTACACACAAACTATGGTCCATACTCTTAACCATACACAATTGCAAATTGTGCAATTGTAAATTTTTCACCTGGGCTGGCATATAAAAGAAAATAAGAAAGAAAGCTAGTATTACTTCTTAAGACCTCAGGGAGACAAATATATGGTGATGGAAGACAATTTGACTTTGGGTGGTAGGCATACAATGCAAAATACAGATCACATATCACAGAAATCTACACTTGAAACCTATATAATCTTATTCACCAATGTCACCCCGATAAATTTAATTAAAAAATTAAATTAAATTAAATATTTTAAATGACTGTAGTATAAAAGATATAAAATAAAATTTTATGTAGGGGTTCAATTTCATTTCTGGCTGCCACAAGTAGTCCAAGCTGGGTTAAAAAATATTCAGGTAACTGCAAATATGGCTCCTAGTAAATGTCTGAAACAAAGTACTAAATATATAGTGAAATGTGTTGCTAAGAAAGTATTTGTCATTTTGGAAAAGAAAATTCTATATGACACACAGAATTCTTTGGTCAAACGCAGCCAAGACATCTGTCTGATAAACTCAATGGCCTATACAGTGGTAAATTACTTTAATACCTAGGGAACTACTAGTGAGAGATCCACCTTATAAAAACCACCTTTAAACATTTTTTCACTGTATTTTTTCATTACCATTTAACCCCGTTATACCACCCTTCCCCTATAAAATCAATTTCTTAAAATAAATTAGAAACCATAATTATAATTTTTCTTACAGAAGAAATTCTTGCAAATGGAGCTAATTAATTTATAAAATAAAAGAACTATATAAATGTCCTACCTAAGAACACCACCAGCATCTACCAAGTTCTTCTTTAGCATGTTAAAGGCTTTCTCTTGCTCCATTCGGATTATTTTCTTATCAACTTTGGGGTCTGTGGGAACTCTATATTCAGGAAACTTTTGTACCTTTTTAATGTAAATTCTTTTTATAAGGGAAAAAAAGAATTTTTCATTATATTGTAATCTTAAAAGAACCTAATTTATCAAACAGAACTTTATTGGAAGCATTAATATTCAGAAAAAATTCCATTAATCTAGAAAGCATTCAGAAGATTACATAAAAGATATGCTACACTCTCAGTGCATCATAATACTTAACAAGTTAAAAATGATCATGACTTCAGTAAAAATATCTAAACATTTCTGGATATTAGCATTTTTTTCTAGATTTGCCACTTCTCTATTCTCCTGAAAACCATGAACACCTCATACCTGGGCTATTTTAATAGCCTACTTCTGGGCCTCTAGACATCCGATCTCAATACTAAAATCCACTTAATACATCAATGCCACAGTGATTCTTCACATATGTACTACTCTACTAAAGAATCTATCTGTCCTTTAATCAAGTAAAATTTCTTGGCAGCATTCAAGGCATTCCATGTGATTCTAGCTTATTTACCTAATCTTAATTTCAATTACTTTAAATATAAAATTGCTTTTCCTATGAAATTTATCATCTTAATGAAAGAAACATCCTTCCTTCTCTGATACCAAATATATAATCATGCCATATCTTCATGTATATAGTTCTCCTCGCCTATACTATTTTTCCTTTAATTCCCTATGTATCCAAATTCAATCTAAACTTCAGCATCCAGGCTTTCTTAGCTAAGTATTTTCTTTGCTATTAATGAGTTTGCATGGATATATTCCCTCTGAAGACAGGTAATCCATAATATACTATCACGTTCTCAGAAAGTTTTTGTTTACTGATCTACCCCAACAACATTTTAAGTTCCTCATGTTTAAATAAAATCTAACACCTTTTTTAGCCGCCCTCTTTCCCATGGCACCCAATATAGTTGCAGGGTACAGAGTAGATACTCATAAAGTACTTATAGAATAAAATAGAATAAAATGGTTTCTTCACATACAGAGCTTTTCTCCCAAGTCACATGTAAAGTTTTAGATTTATTACCATATGTAAAAATCAGCTGAAACCTCTGTTTCATGGTCAAGTTTAAATACGACCTAAAGCTAACTTGATCAGATTAAACATGAAAAGTCTTCTGAACTGGACTCAAAAACTTGAGAATGCTGAGGTTTGTGATATAAGATATGATGTTAAAATGTTTCAAATATCAACCAAGTCCAACATTTACATTATCTTTTAAAAATTTTATTGAACCTGATAATATAAAACATTTTCAATGTCTGAAAAAAGAATATTATATAAGACATTATAAAAATATTTTATTGGTTCACATTTTTCATTCTCACCCACAGCAATAATAACTCCATAGTCCTACTGTACCTAAAACTTACTATGTTGGTCTCATACATTGCTGCTATGACCACAATTGGTAAAAATTTCTCTAAAAAGCAACTTTTTTTTCAAATGTCAAATTTTTTAAAAAACCACCATCTTTTCCCTAGCAATAACATTTCAAGGAATTTATCCTAGTGATATAGCTGCACAAGCATATAAAGAGGTACAAAGTTATTGGGCTGGCTAAACAGTTGATTTAGTTTCTTCCATACGATGGCTCTAGTAGCACGTTTTTTCTGTACAATAGCTCCAGTGGTGCTTAGTTGTCGTTAACTCGTTTGATACAATTTTGTTAAACTGTATTGTGACAGCTGTCATGTCAGTCTGCATTTTTAAAAAAACTTATCAAAATTGGTGAATTTGTGTGCAGCCACTTTAATATTGAAGATGGAAGAAAATATACAAATTTTCAGCATATCATGCTTTATTATTTCAAGAAAGGTAAAAACACAACTGAAACTAAAAAAAAAAAGATTTGTGTCATGTATGGAGAACGCATTGTGACTGACTGAACGTGTCAAAAGTGTTTTGCAAAATTTCTTAGTACTGTTGGCATTTTAGCCAAATAATTTTTTCCCATGGGGCTGTATTAGGCATTGGAAGGCGTTTAGCAGAACCTCTGGCCTCTACCCACTAGAAGCCAATAGCGGGAAACAGTCAACATAATCAAAATATCCAAATCAATAAAGTTACTGGTAAAAATGAAAAATGTGTCTTTTATTTTACAGAAAAAACTAAACAGACTTTTTGGCCAACCCAATATTAACTGCAGCAATAATAAAGAAATAAAGCATACAGGTCCATCATTATGGGCCTAATTAAGTAAATGATAATTTGTCCATAAATAGACTATTATATAACTATTAATAAGAAGGAACCATGAAACTAATATCTTGTATGTTAACTATATTTCAATTTTTAAAATATTTTTAAAAAGAAATGAGTGATTTTATGTACTCATTATGGCAACTTTGGCAACTTTGAGATAGATTTGGAATGAATTAAGGCAAAGTATACAGTAGTATATGTTATTACATTCAAACTACTATGAAGCTTAATAGCTGTGCAGTAAATAATCAAAATAGGCATTCAGAATGAAAATAAATCAATGTGAATTCATAGCGCAAAAAATGGTACACTACTACCTAAACTTTAAGGAAAGGAAACATTAATAAGCTTTACTAAGATCTTTTACATTTATGAGGGTAAAGGAGAATATATGTGTGTGTGTGTGTGTGTGTGTGTGTGTGTGTGTGTGTGTGTGTACGCATATACACAGAATATCTATGTAGGGTAACTCAAGAAACTGGTAAGAGTTGTTGCCTTAAAGAAGAAGTAGGGGTAAGAGGAAGCTCAGATTTCACTGTGTATTTTTCTGGAGCTGCTTAAACTTCAAAAAGTGTATATTAGCTATTCAAAAATAAGTACTTAATAAAAAAATAAAAGAAAGCTTACCGGGCTGGACAAGTGGCTTTGTAGAGCTGACAAGACCTGCTTTCCTGCTCATTGATTTTTTTTAACTGGAAACCTTTTCTCCTTGGCCCATACTGACACTCCATTACCACGGCTCTACTCCCTGTGGGCCAAAACCAACTATTGATATTAAATCAAGTATCCATCTGTTCTGGATACTAGATTAAAAATAACTTGGTGGTAGCAATGTCAAAATCTGTATTGTCATTAAAGCACTTTAGAGAAAGAACACAGCAATAAATCTTACTAAAATAAAATGTACAAACAAGCCCCAATTGGTATGGCTCAGTGGGTTGGGCACTGTCCTGCAAACTGAAACGTTGCCAGTTTGATTCCCAGTCAGGGCACATGCCTGGGTTGTGGCCTGGCTCTGGTTGTGGCACATGGTGATAAACAACCAATCAGTGTTTCTCTCATACACTGATGCTGCTCTCCCTCTCTTGCTTCCTCCCTTCCCCACTCTCTAAAGCTAACTAAATAAAATCTTTTAAAAATAAAGTTAATTGTAATATTTACCAAATATACCACATGTTAAAGAAACAAGTAACATTCAGTAACTACATTAACTGAATGTCAACTGGTATTTACATACATGATTTTAATAACAAAACTTACCATTTTATACATAGAAATTAACACATGCTACATTTGTTAATAAATATTAGTATCATTTAAAATTTTATTTCCTTTTATAATGATTTCCTTTTTCCTATTTGGGCTGTTAGGACAATATGATAACCGGTCACTAAGATGGCCCCCAATGATCCCTGCCTCCTAGTACTCATGTCCTCGTGTACTTCCCTTCCCTTGAACATGGCTAGACTTATTCACTTACTTCTAATGAATATAACTGAATTGATAGAATGTTATTTTTGATAACAGATTATTTTAAAAGTCTGTGACTTCCATCTTAGGTACTCTCTTGTCCTTGCTTGATTGTTCTGAGAAAAATCACCTGTCACATAGTAAGTCAGCCCAGTGCAGAGATCCACGTGGCAAAGAGTAAAATCTGCCAACAGCACCATAAATGCGCTTGGAAGCAGATCCACCCCTGTCCAGCTCACACGTTAGTTGCAGTCTTGTGAGCCTCTTGTGAACCTGAGGCAGATAATCCTCTCTTGGATTCCTAATGCACAAAAACTATGAGGTAATGTTTGTTGTTTTCAGCCACCAAGTTTGGGGTAATTTGTTATGCAGCAAGAGATAATACAAATAAATAGAAGTAAAAACTATGCAGTTTAGATTTTAAGTTGAATATTTTATACTAGGGTACAGCAATCTTCAAAAATATAAAATTGAAAGTGCAAATCATAACTTAAAATGTTGATAAAGCTGATGTTAAAATGTAAAACTTGTGCCCTGGTTGGTGTGGCTCAATGGATTGAGTGCCAGCCCGTGAACTGAAAGGTCACCAGTTCTATTACCAGTCTGGGCACACGCTACAGTTGCCAGTCAGACCCCCAGTTGGGAGCATATGAGAGGCAACTGATCAATGTAGCTCTCAAACATCAACACTTCTCTCCCTCTCTTTCTGCCTCCCTTCTCCTCTCTCTAAAAATAAATGAAATCTTTACTTTAAAAAAGTGTAAGACTTGTATTTAAAAGATACCATAAATACAAATGAAAATAGCAGTTTGAAAAACAGTATTTTATAATACACATATAAAAGATTAAAAGAAACACAAATGATTTTTTTAAAAAATAAAGAAACAACCAAACAGAAAAATGGGCAAGGGCTATGAACAAGCAATTCAGAAAGAAAAAATGGATGATAAGTGAAAAAATAAATAGTTGTTCAACTTCACTAGTAAAGAAGGAAATATAAATCAAAACAATAGTAAAACACTATTTCACAATCTTCAGATTGGCAAAAATAAAAATAACTGACATACTCTACAACAACTGACCCCACTGATCAATCTTAACATCATTAAAAGGTGTTACATATAGATAGCAATAAAAAGTACACAGAACCTATGAGGTATTCCTGCAAAATACTTTTATGAAGATTGGATCTTCATTTAGTCAAGCCTCTTAGATTTAGCAGTTTACAGAAAGTAGAGGAGATAAAAGAGCATGTTAACCTACATGACAGAGCTGGAATCAGCAAAATGCAGAATATGGCAAACTCTATATAACAAACTAGCTGAAGAAAATAGGACAGAAATTTTTAGATTAAAATAGAGTTAAGAGATATATTAACCAAATATAATTTGTGAACTTCCTTTGGATGTAAATTTGAACAAACCTATAAAAAAAGAATTATGAGATAAGTGGAGGAATGTGAACATTAGACATTTTGACATTAAGAAATTACTGTTAATTCTTTTAAAATATGATAATGGGATTCTCATTATATTCTGTGTGTGTGTGTATATATATATATATATATATATATACATAGAGACAGACAGACAGAGACAGAGTCCTCATCTCTTTAGTAGTAGATTAAGTGACATATCTGGAATTTAATGTAAAATCATCTTGGGAGTGGGGAATGAGGAAGTGGGCTGGGGTGTAGATGAGACAGTATTTACCACACACTGATAGTTGTTGAAACTAGATGATAGATACCTGGAGTCATAGGATTTCAAGTATTATTACTATTACTTTGATATGCATATGAAAATATAAAGATTTTTAAAAGAATGACAATGCTAAGTCATACAGTGAAAGTGGGAAAGGGAAATTTTCATGCACAGCTGAAGGAAATAAAAACTGGTACAGGTCATCAATTCTTTGTGTAAATTTCTGAATCTAAAAAGCTCAAAAAACAAAAATTTTTCGAACTCATTTACCTGTAAATCCTGACCTGAAGTTTAAGAGGTCATTTATACTCTTAATTTATTCCTTAGTGTTGACTACCCATAAAATATTACTTGTCTGATCATATGTTACTTTCTGTAGAGTATGCGCTAGAAGTATTTTATAATATTACCTTATTACAGTCCAAAAATACAGAATTCTAAAACACATCTGTACAAAAAATTTTGGAGAAAGGAGTTTTGAACCTGCACAACCACCTCTGAACTATTTGAAAGAATCTTACAAGGATGAAATAGGCATGATTCATAACACATTAATTCCATCTTAACACATATACATTAAAAAAAAACGAATTACATATTTTCAACAGAAAATGTATATTGTGGACCTCTGACTATAGCATTCTTTGTGATACTGAAAAGTTGGAGACAACCTAAATGATTATTTATAAAAAAAAATTGTGGTTTGGTCATATGCTGGACTGTTACATAATTAAATTGAGTTAACTGGGAGTGAGTGAAATTTTATATAATAATGTCTACAGTTTGCTACTTATATATATTTTTAAATATGCAATAAACGAAATATATTATTAAAAATATAAATATGTATGGGAATGTATAGAAACAGACTAGAAAAATACACACCAAATTCACATAGTGGCTGCTTGTGAAGAGGTAAGAGAGGGATTAGAACTAGGGAGGTGAAAAATGTTCCATTTCTTTTATAGAATATGGATAAACCTGAGAAGAAGTTACATTTATCTTTCTCTACTCTCTCTACCCTCAGAGGTCCAAGATTCCAGTTGAATAACCCTGAAATAAATCACTTATTTCTAGGTTCAGTGGGGACTGACTAGTCCTAGGGTGAATCTCCAGGAATTCTTTGAAACTATATTGCTTTAGTAAACATCAGTGTTTGAGAATACTGTATATAATACACCCGATGCTTGAGAACCCTAATATTAAAATTCTAAGTAATTCCTGATTGTATGCAAATTCTATAAAGTAACTTAAGAATTATAAGCTATATAAAATGGACACAAATTTGTACCACAAGATAAATGAAGAGAGAAGGATAGTCTATCTAGATTGGATGAAAAAACAAAAACAAAACCCAAGAGATGTACATACTTCAAATAATAAAATTACTTATTATTTAAATTTGTATTAAATAGTTCTACCTAGGATTTCAATATTTTTATTTTCTATTTTCGGCATAATATCTAGAGGAAGCATGATTTATTTAATAAAATAAATGCAATTTTACAACATAAAAATTGGTTTATTATATTTTCTTTTTTGTTTAATATACCTTTTATCAATTAACAATTATCATCTACCAAAATGAAAATGAATCACCTTAGGAAAACCACAGTTTCATAATGGATCATTGCTACTGCTAACCTTTTAAAATATTTATTTTAAAATGTACCTGCATTGACAAATGGAATTCCATCATATGGGACATACTGGGATTTCCACATCAAACGTGAGGCTGGCTTGGCTGGGCTTGGAGATTGGCGGGTCCCCCAGACGCTCTGTGTTTGCTGTTTGTGAAATGTTAAAACACTTTCTAATTCAGTCTCACTTACACAGTAGCCCCGGTATGAATCTCCAATTTTCTGCAAGTAGTAAAAATTAAATAACAAAATTGTTAGCAAATATGTTTCATTGTACAAAAAATTTAATGAAGTGATTGTCCTAGATGAAAGACTCCTCAACTCTCAAAAGAGAATGTCATTTCTCCCCTCAGATCAATGATCTATTACAACCAGTGGATCTGATCTGAATTCAACCAGCTTCATCAAATAGATATTGTCTAGGTATTTGTTTGGGAATGCCAAACTCATTGTCACAATGACTTCATCAAAATCTTGTTTGAGACTAATAATGCTTAGGGAAGATAGCTTGAAGAACATATCATATCCCTTCTTCCAGATACTTAAAATTCTACCCCTATATCTAACCAAATAAGCATAAAACTAGCCACAATGTACTGGTTCCCTGTGGGCATTCTTTACTGAAACTGATTTTGTAGGATGCCATCCATCTATTTTGAAAACCTATGAAAATTGTAGTGTTTCTCATATAAAGATTATATAAAATAATTTGTTCATTATATCAACCTTGTTTTCATGAAGATCCTTCTCTGAGAGAAATTCCTGTCTGACCTTAGCATCAAAAATAGATAATGGAATTTTTTTTGGTAGCTTAGGAAAATCAGCATAATTACCATATTTACTGTGTATAATGCACACTTTTTTCCACGTTTGAGGAAAAAATAAGGATGTGCATTATACATGGGCATAAAATACAATGGGTATAACAATCTCATTTATAATGTGCACAGAAATGTGGGTGCACATTATACACAGCAAAATATAGTACTTGTACCTAGTAGACACAAAATTTACTAATTAACTAGGTTTTCCTTTTTGAATGTTAATTCTGTCTCTCCCTCTCTCCCAAAGGAGTCTGAATCTTATCTCTCCCCATAGACTGAAAATTGTGAATCCCACCCGTCTTCCTTCAGAATCTTCAGATGGTGTTACAATTTTACCCCTGAGCTCCAGCGGAGGGAGAGCAAAGCAGACTAGAGCTGCATGAAGAGAGTCTGGGGCTGGAGGCTGGGTGGAGACAGCTGAAGAGTCAGCTGCCACATCCCTGTGCTCAGTCATTCCCTGTACTGAAGAAGCCACCTTTCTCCTGAATGCAGATGCTCAGATTGTAGACATGTGGCATGTGTCTGTGTGTGCATACATATACACATAGACATGCACACAGACATGCATGTAGTTCATTAAGATACACATTTCTTACTTCCATTTTATGACTTCATTCTTGTTTTTCTTTATTCTTTAGCTCCACTTTTAATTTCTATCTTGCTAATACACTTTATGTATTTTTCTTTTAAATTATTTAAAAAATTTTTCCCAATTGCAGTTTATATTTGATATTATTTTCTATTAGTTTCATGTATACAGCACAGTGGTGAGACAATCATATACTCTACTAAATGTTTCCCCTGACAGTTCCAGTGCCCACCTGGCACCATACATAGTTACTACAATAATATTGACCATATTTCCCATGCTTTACTTTGCATCCCCGTGACTATTTTGTACTACCAATCTGCACTTCTTTCACCATTTTTTTACCCAGTCCCCCAACCTCCCTCTCTTATGGCAACCATCAGTCTCTTCCCTACATCTTTTTGTGTTTCTGTTTTGTTTGTTCATTTACATTGTCTTTTAGATTACACATATAATTGAAATCATGTAATATTTGTCTTTCTGTGACTGGCTTATTTCACTTAGCATCCATCCATGCTGTTGCAAATGGTATGATTTCATTCTTTTTTATGGCTGAGTACTATTCCATAGTATATATATGTACCACCACTTTTTTATCCACTTGTCCATTGATAGGCAACTTGTCCATTTCTATAACTGGCTATTGTAAATAATGCTGCACAGAACATAGGGATGTAATATATTCTTTACAATGAATGTTTTGGGTTTCTTCAGATACACACTGAGAAGTGGAATGACTGGGTCATAACGCAGTTTCCATTTCTAATTTTTTGAGGAACTTCCACAAGTTTTTCCACAGTGACTGTACCAATCTCCAAAGAGGACATACAAATGGCCAAAAGACATATGCAAAGGTGCTCAATGTCTTTGAGTACTCAAAGGTGCCCCATAATTAAAACATTATGGGGGCAGGGGGTGGGTAGAGGTTGAAAAGGGTATGGGAGGATACATGGTGATAAAAATAATGTTTTTAAAAACCACAATGAAATATCATATCACACAAGCCAGAATGGCTATCATCAATAAATTGACAAACATGTATTGGTGAGGATGGAGAGAAAAGGGAACCTTCCTGCACTGTTGGTGGGAATGCAGACTGGTGCAGCCACTGCAGAAAGCAGTAAGGAGTTACCTCCGAAAATTTTAAATGGATATGCCTAGTGACCTATCAATTCCACTTCTCAGAATATGTCCGAAGAAACATGAAACACTAATTTGAGGAATCTATGCATACCTATCTTCATTGCAGCATTATTTACAATAGCCAAGATTTGGAAGCAGCTCAAGTGCCCAACAGTCAACAAGTAGATAAAAAACTGCAGTACATTTACACAATGCAATACAATTCCGCCTTTAAAAAGAAGGAAATATCAGCTTTTGTGACAGCATAGACAAACATGGACAGTATTACACTAAGTGAAATAAGCCAATCAGAGAAAGACAAGTACCATATAATTTTATTTACATGTGGAATCTAATGAACAAAATAAACTAACAAAATAAAAACAGGTTCATAGATAAAGAGAACAACCAACAACTGTCAGATGAAGGGGGATTAAGAAGCTGGATGAAAAAGGTGAAGGAATTAAGCTAATAATTCATAGACATAGAAAATAGAATGGTGATTACCAGAGAGAAAGGGGATGGGGGGAGAAGGAGAAGTAAGGTAGAAGAAGGTAAAGGGGGGACATGGAGATGGAAGGAGATTTGACTTGGGGTGGTGAACAAAAATACAATATACAGATAATGTATTACAGAATTGTCCATCTGAAAAATTATATAATTTTATTCACCAGTGTCACCCCAATAAATTCAAACATTTTTTAAAAACAAAAGAAAGAACTGGTGATACAGATTTGGGGATCATTTTTATAAAAGTGATAGTGGAAAGCCAAAAAAGTTAATGAGCTCTCCAAAAGATAAAATGTGGAGAAATAAAAAAAGGTTAAACAGTGAAATCTGAAGAATTTCCACTGTGAATATGCAAATAAATAGGTGCAAGCAAAGAAAGAATGGTCAAAAAATAAAAAGTAGAGAAACACGATAGCAAAGTTTCATGGAAGACAAGGGAAGAAATGATAGTGAGGTGAGAAGATTCATATGATCTCTGCTTTAACAGAACTCACAATTGCTAACAAATAAAAGACTAGATGAGATCAGATATAGAATAAACATGAACAAAATAGTACAGGTAGAGCCTCTGTTAGTCATATTAAAAGTGGACATTTTGGGATGAACTGTAGTTCATTAAGTGAAGCTGGGTAAGGATTATTTTTAACTTACCTCACAGCTCCTAAGACGGCAGGCCCACATAGGTGTGTTAGAAGAAAGTGGCTGGAGAGGGGCCAGAAATGGCTCTTCAAGCATTCTGGGACGAGGGGAAATAGATATAAAGACATATTAGAAGTTACACACACAGACATTCACATGGCATTCAACTGCTTTATTCTCTTTGCTGGTATCAAAGACAAAAGACTGAGATCATCAATAAGAAACTATAATAATGATGACAGATTGATCTGATAAGAATATTCATTATAATTTTATTTAATCATGACTATTTACTAACTGCTAATGAAAAGGCCCAGTTTAGCTCTTCCAACAAGTTCAAGTATTTTATCTCTCTCTAAAAGCTTATTTTATATTCTTATTATTATATAATTATTTTCATTTATCAAAAAATGAGCTAATAAAACATCTTCAGATGACTTGTCAAGAATTGCATGATATTATGTCAAGTTCAGTCTTAGAACTTGGGTCATAAGTATTATATTAATTTTAAAATATTTTCATAGAACAATTAAAAGAATATTAATAATACAGCCCTGGCTGGTGTGGCTCAGTGGATTCAGTGCCAGTCTGAGAACCAAAAGGTTGCCAGTTCTATTCCCAGTCAGGACACATGTCTGGGTTATGGGCCAAATCCCCAGTTTGGGGAGTATGGGAGGCAAATGATTGCTCTCTATCTCTCACACATCAATGTTTCCCTCCCTCCTTTCTCCTCTCTCTAAAAATAAAATAAGTGAAATCTTTTCAAAAAAGAATATTAATATAAAAACCATTATCTTTATTTCCCTAAATTAGTGTAAAGTGTTATTTTAAAGCAAAAGTAAAAGCTGAAATAAATGTTAACAAAACACATTTTAAATACTTTACCACAGAGGAATTAAACAAATAAAAATGTGATGAAACCATTAAAAATTTTAGGATTTTTATTCACCAGTGTCACCTGTGAATAGCATCTGGAAATGCTATCTAGAATAGCATTTTTTTAATTCTAAAAACTGTTAGTATCAGATGTTTTCAGGTTGCTCCAAAACATCACAGGAACGGTTTACTAAGTAAAAGCAGCACTTTGGATAGTCATACTTTCTAGAGTAGTCTCTTGTTGCCAAGATGACATTAAAATATATATTTGATGACAGTTTATTCTATTTCCTGGATTTCTGATTTTTTTCGATAGTAAGCCAGCTTTAGATGGAATAACTTAAAAACATTTCCATGGTGATAACAAAAGATAAGTTCCTCTTTCCTGCTGACTCACCTGGTCACTGTCGTCGTGGGCAATGTGAGGGATGCTTGTGGATGAAGTATATAAGCACTATTATTTTCTGCTAAAGCATCCACTCTCACAGTTGGTAAGTTTCTGTTGCTGGGTTTCTCTTCAGAGGCGTCTTAACCACAATAACAAGAACAAAGCAACATCAGTATCTTGAATAAGAGCCTGAGAATGTAACTAACTATAATTTACATATTTGAAATAGGACAGGGAAGATATGCTCTGAAACTAAAAATCATAAAACTTACAATGCTTTACTGGGAATCTCTCTGATAAACTTGTTTACTTTCCAATTATAATACTGACTACTAAAATAATGTAATTAAGAGTGGTACTTACATTGAACAGCTAAGATATGAGTGGTACAAGTAATTGTTATATGTATTAAGAGTTTCACAGTATAATAGGAAAATGTAAAACTGACTCTTATTTCTATACCATGTTTATTATATTTTCTTCAAACTATGCTTTTTTTCTTACATTTTAGTGACTATTAACAAAGACAAAAAGTCATAACACCAAGGTAAAAATATCTACCCTAAATCATTAACTGTGAATAGTGACAAAACAACATAACTATGATGTTAGACAAAATTCAAATAGATGAAAAAGCAAGGGAAGGGAAAGGAAGAGATTGGTGATATCATTAAATAGGTAAAGAAAAATAAAAAGAAACTAAAAATGTGAGTCTCATTTCTGAATTTGAAAGAACAAGAGGAAAAGAGCAAAGAGGATGCAAGTACCCTTAAAAAAAAGTACTAAGTCACACAGCTAACAACAACATTGATATAAATACAAATGTAAAATCTCCAATAGCTATTAGCCCATATTCTTGTTATTGTTGTTGTTATTATTACTGTTGTTATAATTAAGAAGAATTTATTTTACACTCACTGATCATTTGAGAGGAAGCAAGAGTCAACCAGCTTCATAGAATTCCAAAACGGAATACATAGCTAACGTAGATAGGAGTTGAAAATCAACTTGAAATTTACTTGGGCTATAAAACTTTTTCTACTTATTCAGTTCACAATTTTGCCCAAATAAATAAATTTTGCACTGACTTTGATAAGATGATTTTCCTAAATATACATTTCTTTTTTAAAAACATTCTAAAATCCCCTATGTCCAATTAGTACTCACCCTGAGGACTATTCATATCCACAAGCTGCCCCTGAGGTATAATCACTTGTGCCATTCCTGTCTGGGTAGATGGAATTACACGAAGCACCTGTCCATTTTCTAATGAGCTGGCAACAATCATCTTGGAAGCATTAAAAAAGAAATCAAATGCATAAGCCTACAGTAATTTAACAAAGTTATTAATTAAATTATTAAAGACATGCCTACCTCTTTGGTCAATACTATCACAGATGAAATCATCATTATGTAGATGAAAACACTGAGATACATAAAAACTTTTTCCAGTCTCACAACCGGTAGGTGGTAGAACTAGGATGAAGACAGGCAGTTGGACCGTATGTCCTAGGATCTGAACCACCTATGTCTCATTCATTACACAGGGGCAAGACCTAATGACTTAGTAATCTGAACAAGGCTCTAATTGAACTGAATATATTAACTTTTTTATATTTATTGTACTACCCAACAATGTTTGACCTATTTGTGTAGTAATCACCTAGATGATTTTAGTTCATTAGTTTAAAAACAATAACTTGTTATATATCTACTTAAAACAGCATTTGTTTTTTATATCTCTGTATTTATATATATCCTTTCTAGGTCCACAGGAAATACTACAGAGTCCCCAAAAGTCTAAAAACATAGAGAAAAGAGTATATTTATAATACTTTCTTTTCAGTTTAATACCTGAACCCATTGCCAGAAATTTAGAAGAATGTCAACTAAAAAAGAACCTGAAGTTTAAAAAACATTTGAAGATATAACTAATAAATTCATATTTGAAATAAGTTTATCCTATAGTTCTAGATTTTTTAGCAGCCTATAAACTTTATTACCTAACATACTACTTTCTGCAGACACAATTTTACTATTTTACCTCTACCTAGTGCAATTAACTCTCCTTATTCATTTCTGTTCCACTTTCCCTTCTTCCTTTTTTTTCCAGACTTCCTTTTTGCTAGGTGAAAATGTGAAAGCATTGATGATGCATGCCTGATAGAGACTGCATTCCTCCTTTTAAGGGAGTCATTTGAAAAAAATTAAATTAATAAAAACCCGCCTCAATAAATATAATCATAAACATTTTTCAGAAACTAAGAGAGGGGAGGAGAAGGTGCAGAGAATAAGTAGCATAGACAGTAGGTAGAAAATAGATGGGGAAGGCAAGAATAGTACAGGAAATGTAGAAACTAAAGAACTTGTGACACATGGACATGAACTAAAGGAGGGGAATGTGGAGGAGGGGGTGTGCAGGGTGGAGGGGAATGAAAGGGGGAATGGAACAACTGTAATGGCATAATCAATAAAATGTATTTAAAAAATTAAAAAAAAAGAAGAGCCATGGAGAGGTAGGGTACAGCATAGGAAATGGAGTAGCCAAAGAACTTACACGCATGACCAATGGACATGAACAATGGTATGGGGATTGCCTGAGGGAGTGAATGGTGCTGGGTGGAGACAGGCGAAGGGGTAAAAAGTGGCACAACTGTAATAGCATAATCAATAAATACAATTAAAAAATAAAAAATTAGAGGGACTTCCGCCAAGATGGAGGCATAGGTGGAAGCACTTCGCCTTCTCACATAACCAAGTTTAAAAACAACAAAGTTTTAGCAACAAAAACGCAGCCAAACCACAGAAAATTGAACTACACATAAGTCTGACAACAACGAACCCTTCAGCCAAACCAGTAAGAGGGGCAGAGCCAGCAGCAGAGCGGGGTTGAGCAGGAAAGATCCACCAGACTGACCCAGGCACTCGACCCAGGTGTGCCATCAGCCATGGACAAATCCCAGGTATGGAGAAGCGGGTGGACCCACTGAGGGCAAACCGTGGTCACACATTCGAGTGCAGATAAACTGGTGAAGGAGCTAGCGGTGATGAGACGAACTGCGCAGGCCCCAGTGGTGCAAAGCGGCAGAGAGAACCGCCATTGTCCCTCTCTGACCTTGCCCCCCACATACAGCATCACAAACCAGCGACCTGGAGGGCCCCTCTCTGACCACACCCCCACATACAGCATCACAAACCAGCGACCTGGGTGGCCCCACCCTGGTGAACAACTAAGGCTCCGCTCCTCATACATAACAGGCACAAACAGATAAAAACATGGCTCAAGAACAACTCAGAGCCCCAGAGCCGATAAATCTAAGCGATGAAGAAATAGCCAAACTTTCAGATGCACAGTTCAAAACACTGGTGATCAGGATGCTCACAGAACTGGTTGATTTTAGTCACAAATTAGAGGAACATATGGAAGCTAAACTAATTGAAATGAATAGAAATACACAGGAAACCAATAGTAATGGAAAGGAAACTGGGACTCAAATCAAAAGAGTGGACCAGAAGGAGGAAAAAAATGACCAAACAGAAAAGGATGAAGAAACAAGAATTCAAAAAATGGAGGAGAGGCTTAGGAACCTTCAGGACATCTTTAAACGTTCCAACATCCAAATTGCAGGGGTACCAGAAGGGGAAGAGGAACAGCAACAAGTGAAAGACTTATTTGAACAAATAGTAAAGGAGAACTTCCCCAATCTGGCAAAGGAAATAGACTTTCAGAAAATCCAGGAAGCTCAGAGAGTCCCAAAGAAGTTGGACCCAAGAAGGAACATACCAAGGCACATCATCATTACATTAGCCAAGATTAAAATGAAGGAGAGAATCCTAGAAGCAGCAAGAGATAAGGGGACAGTCACCTACAAAAGAGACCTTACAGGCAAGAAGGGGCTGGAAAGAAGTATTCCAAGTCATGAAATCCAAAGACCTACATCCAAGATTGATCTATCCAGCAAAGCTTTCATTTAGAATGGAAGGGCAGATAAAGTGCTTCTCAGATAAGATCAAATTCAAGGAGTTCATCATCACCAAGCCCTTATTATATGAAATGTTAAAGGGACTTACCTAAGAAAAAGAAGATAAAAAAGATGAACAGTGAAAGGACAGCAAACTCACAGTAATTAAGAACCAAACCTAAAACAAAAGCAAATTAAGAGGACAGCTAGATCAGGAGCAGAACCACAGAAATGAAGATCACATGGAGGGAGTGGAAGAAGGAGAAGGGGGGAGAAGGTACAGAAAATAAGTAGCATAGATGGTAGGTAGAAAATAGGGTAGAGGGCAAGAATAGTATGGGAAATATAGAATCTAAAGAACTTGAGACATGTGGTCATAAACTAAAGGGGGAGAATGGTGGGGAAGGGGGTGTGCAGGGTGGAGGGGAAAGAAGGCGGGAAATAGAACTGTAATGGCATAATTAATAAAATATATTGAAAAAAGAGAAACTAATAACAATTTGTGGAATTTATTAATATTCAAATAAACTATGTTTTAAATTATGACATTATGAGATTAACTAGAAATTTTAAACTGAATGGATAATTGATAAAATTAAGGGATTGAAGTTAAATTTATATGTAAATTGGTATTATGGATATGTGTTTTTAAAAGACTCCTTAGCTCTTAAAGTACACTTTTAGGTGTTTACCTGGTAAATGATATTAGAGCTGTCTGGAGAAAGTCTGGCCATTGTTAATATAATGAGAACAGTTTGTGCAACATTGATGTAAGCTAGCAGCCAAGGAGAGTGGAATGTGCATGCATAAACAATGATGACTTCATTGTACTAGTCAGTGGTAGCAGGAGACACCACTGAGTTAAGTAAGCATGTGTACTCTGTGGCCATCGCATTCAAAATGACTGAGAAAGTAGAGCAACAAATCTGCATCAAATTTTGTGTTAAGCTTGAACATTCCTCTGCAGAAACCATTCAGATGATTCAGAAGGTTTCGGGGGATGATGCAAGGAGTGAAGTACAAATAAAAGTGTGGCACAAATGCTTCAAAGATGGTAGAGGATCTCTTGAAAGTGACCCATGTTCTAGAAGGCCTGCAACAAGCAGAATATCTGAGAATGTTGAACATATATGGGTTACAATCAACAAAAATTGGTGACTGACAAGTGTGAGAGCTAGAAGCTGATCTGAGGATTCAAATAGTGTCCAAAATTTTGGGAAAAAAAAAAAAAATAAAAAATAAATAAAAACATCTTTTTTAGGAAAGGGATTATGGGTGAAATCCTAACACTTCATACATTTAGACTGCTTGATCTTTCTCTCAGAACGTGCAGACTTGCTAAATGTTCTAAGACCAAATAGAGTAAATGTCAAATAACAGTATAAATTACAGAAGTATTTCATACTAGACATGACATATTAAAATGTAGTTGGTTCACATCTAAATTATTTATTGCATATTAACCTCTGCTGGTGATGCGTGCAGTATGGCTTCAGAAGCTTACTCTTACTTTGCATTTCAGTCCTTAAGTAGATCAAGAAATTTGTTGAGTCTGAATATACACAAAAAGTGCTTGCCTACACTTAGCCACCTCTCAACCAATGACTCTCAACCCCAGAATTCAGCTCGATTATATGGGAACAAATGCACAGAGATTAACTCTGTAATGCCCTAGACTAAAAACAATAGAGACAAGGATTAATTTCATATAAAATGGTTGATCACTTGCAATAATTTATAATCAAAGTTCTGGTTTAAAAAATAATTTTTGAGAGCTTCTGGTCAAGATGGCAGCGCAGGCAGACATGGCTCACCTTTTTGCACAACCACATCAAAATTACAACTAAAATATAGAACCACCATCACTTAGCGCTGTCAGAAACTGAGTTAAATGGAAGTCTGACAACTACAGAATTAAAGAAACCACATCCATCCAGACTGGTAGGAGGGGCACAGATACAGAATGGGCTGATTCCAATGTAAGTTAGTAGTGTAAAGAAATTGACTGGGTGAAGAAGGTGAAGCGATTAAGAACTACACATTGATAGTTACAGAACAGTCACAGGGATGTAAAGTACAGCATAGAGACTATAGTCAATAATACTGTGATAACCATATATGGTGCTAGATGGGTACTGGAAATATCAGGGGAACACTTTGTAAATGATTATCTAATCACTATGCTGTACTCCTGAAACTGACACAAAATAATACTGAAAGTAAATAGTAACTGAAAAATTAAACAATAGAATAAAGATATCAGGTCATATACTAATATAATTTAATAAACAGCATAAAACTGGTTATTTATAAAATATACTCACCATTTGTGCATTAGAATCCCCCAATGACTGAAGTTCATATTGAACAGGTTGCCCATTTTGGTCCACTAGGTGAAATTTCTCTGTAGAAAGAGTCTGTGCTTGAGTCAGGGGCCCTGGTATATTCTGTGATGTGAGTGAATTATCTGCTTCATGAGTAGTGATGGGTAAAACTCTATCAGAATTATTTTGTCCAATGGAAGGATCCCTGGAGTCCATACAGGTTGGATGCTTTGCAAAATAATAATAATGAAAAAAATAAACAATCATTGAGGTGTTTGTAAAATATAAACAAAATAACCTTTAAATAATATTTATAATAAAAATGAAATGTCATTCATTTTTCAGTTAATTATCTACTTTACACTTGGCAAGAGTTGTCAGTTCACAGACTGATACAGACAGAAAGCAGTTCTTAAATAAATTGTTGATTTTTATTATATTTTATTTCAACCTTATTAAAATAAAACTGTCCACAGAAATGCAACCTGAAATTATAAAATGTAATTCAACATAAGAAGCTTTCTTGTATATAAAACTTATGAGTATACATAACCAAATGTGATAGAACTATGGATAATAAAATGTTAAAATTCTCAAATACATTAAGTATAACATATTCCTTAAGCATAAAAAGTTGTTAAATGGCGTGTTGTTCTTTAGAATGGGAAAAAGTTCCCAGTTGACTCCCTACCTCAAATTACCTGAGAATGTGTTTTTGAATCTTCGGAATCATTATGATTGGCTGTTAATGAATCATTAGGCTGTTCCATGCTGACACCATATTCAATTCCATTTTCTTCTATTACTAAATAGCTGAAAGAGTTCAAATAGCTGATCAGCTAAAGCTCCTAACATTTTTTTAAATCTCACTTACTCTATTACAGCTGTCCCAATTTCCCCCCTTTGCCCTCCTCTGACCAGCCCACCCACTGCTCACCCAGTCAATTCCCACACTGCCGTCCATGTCAATCATGTATGTTCTTTGATCCCTCCCCCTCCTTTCCACCATCGTCCACCACTCTCCTCCCTGCTGGGAGCTGTCAGTCTGTCATGTTTCCATGTTGTGTTTTGCTCTTTAGTTTATTTTGCTCATTAGATTCCTCTTATAAGTGAGATCATATGGTATTTTTCTTTCACTGACTTATTTCACTTAGCATAATAGTCTCCAATTCCATTCATGCTGTAGCAAAAGGTAGATTATATATACAGATCTGTTACCATAATGTACAATCATTCCCCTCAATAACTGCTTGACAAGCTTTGAAAATAAACAAACATGTATTCCAATAAGTGTGAGCCACTAAGGCCTAGTACAGTGATTTGCAACTGTGGCGATTCTGTCTTCTCACACATTCTTCTACCCTGAAGTATATTCAGCAATTTCTGAAAACATTTTTGGATGTACGGAGGCATGGGAGGGTTGCTACTGACATCTAATGGAGTATTGCTAAAAATCTTCAAATGCACAGGACAGCTGCCATTAACAAAGATGTTAATGTTACTGAGGTTTACTAATCCTGGCCTACTATACTGTAGTAAGTATAAAGTACTGAATTATCTTTAAAAAAAGTTTTGTCTTAAAACTGTAGTGAGGTCAAAATGAAACTGGTAAAGACTACCACTGAACATGTATGTAATAAACTGCATAGAACCTTTGAAAAACCTATCCCTGTATTTTTCAAAATACAGCATACATATTTTTTCATTTTAAAAATTTTATTTTTTAAATTAACATGCATTAAATTAAACTTTCTTGTATATGAACAGTTCTATGAATTTTAACATACATTTCTATGTAACCACCATCGCAACAATCAGGATATATAATAATTCTAATTACCCTTAACCCTAATTTAAAGTTATATCTTGTACTTCAGACTTATTTAGTTATATATTTGAATACACTGAAAACTTATTTTTCTTTGATAGTATACTCACATATAAACTTATAAAATTAACCATTTCATAAAATCTATAAGGTTTGGCATTGTTTATCCCCAAAATATTTTAACCATTTGAACTCAAATATAATTGGCTGTAAATCATTCTTATTTTTAATATGTAACTATAAAATATCTTAAAACTGCTTCTCCTTTAAGAATTTAAATTATCACTTGTTATTCTAATCTAACTTGTCACAAAAATTCCAAAAGCCTATAGTTACTTCTCGAGCTATAAGAGAGCAATTTTATAACTTCCTGTTTTGTCTTGAAGTTTTTACACCATATATATTACTTAAGAACAGTATTTTTTTAGAAAGGGTTTAAAAAATAAAGGTGATTCCACTAAAGACAATATTGCATATTAGATACAATAAAAGGCTCACTTGCTAGAAAACAAATAATAGGAAATTGATCTAAAACAAAATCTAAGAAGTTAGTTACATAAAGGGCAGTTCCCATAAAACTGTCCGCTGATCTCTCAAAGGAAACTTCACAGGCTAGAAGGGACTGGAAGGAAGTATTCAATGTGATGAAAAGCAAGGATCTACAACCCAGATTACTCTTTACAGCAAAGCTTTCATTTAGAATGGAAGGGCAGATAAAGTGCTTCCCAGATAAAGTTAAAAGAGTTCATCATCACCAAACCCTTATTATATGAAATGTTAAATGGACTTATTTAAGAAACAAGAAGGTCAAATCTATGAACATTAAGATTATAACAAACTCACAACTATGAACAACTGAATCTAAAAAACAAAAACATAGTAAGCAAATGACTAGAACAGGAACAGAATCACAGAAATGGAGATCACATGGAGGGTTATCATCGGGAAGGAGCGAGGGGGAGGATTTAAGAAGCATAATTGGTAGGTACAAAATAGACAGGGGGATGTTAAGAATAGTATAGGAAATGGAGAAGCCAAAGAACTGCTATGTTCGACCCATGGACATGAACTAAGAAGGGGGGATTGCTGGAGGAAGTGGGATACCAGCAGGCACAGGAGGACAAAGGGGAAAAACACCAGGCAACGGTAATATCATAATCAATAAAATATACTTGAAAAATAAAATGCAGCAGAGAGATAAGATCAGTTATAGAGTATTGACATTAGATATACAGCAGACTACTCAAAAGAAACAATGATGGTATAAGTCACAGGAATAATAAAAAAAGAAAGTGCTGATATACAATTGCATATATTCAAAACTATTTTCTTCACAAAACAGGATGAAAGACACTTTAAGATTTAAAAAAACTGAAAATTAATAATCTACAGATCCTACATGAAATTTCTAGAAATACTGAAAAGTGATACCAGATGTAAGTCCTAATTCTAGAAAAATAGTAAGCAAATTAATAATTCTATGAAAAATCTAAATAAATGATGCCTTATAAATAATATTATTATAATTTTGTATATGTGCATTATAAACATAGAATAAAATACTGGAGAACTAAATAAAATACACATAACTCAGGAGGGGTGGTAAGAAACACAATATATTAAAACTTACGGAATTCAGGGAAAACACTGCTCAGGGAAGTTTAAAGCAATAATGCCTTAATTTTTTAAAAATCTCCATCTTGATATCTTAAAAAATGGAAAAAAAAAGAGCAAACTAAATGAAATCTAGCAAAAGGAAGGGAAGAAAAAAACAGAGGGGAAATAAGCAAATTCAAGAACAGAAAAACAATAGATAGTACCAACAAATCTAAAAGTTGGTCCTTTAAAGATTGACAAAATTGACAAACCTTTAGCTAGAGTGACAATAAAAAAGAAAAAGATGCAAATAACTAAACTCAGAAATAAAAGGGAGGACATCACCACCAACCTTACAGAAATTAAAAGGATAATGAGAGAATCCTAAGAACAATTGTACAAACTATCTCTATTCACAGACAATAATCTTACACACAGAAAATCCTAAAGAATCCACAAAAAAGAATGATTAAACAAATTCTACAAACTTGCAGAATTTTGACAAGATATTTCTACAAGATAAGCAAGTTGTATTTCTCTAAAACAGCAATGAACAATCCAATAAATTCAATAATCCATTTCAAATACTATCAACGATGAAATACTAGTGACTTTAACCAAGGAAATATGAGTCATACACTGAGATTACAAAATATTGCAGGAAAAAAATTAAAGAAGACCTAAATGAATACAAAGACATACTGTGCTCATGTAACTGGAAGACATGAAAATTATTAAAATGGCAATACTACCCAAAGCAATCCATTGCATTTTCTTTCAGTTATAGAAAAGCCAGCCCTAAGACTCAGATGGAATTGCAAGGGACCTGAATGGCCAAAACAATCTTGAAAAAGAATGTTTGTAGACTCTTTCTTCCCAATTTCAAAACTTACTACAAAATTATAGTACTCAAAATAATGTAATACTGATAGTAAGATGAGACATGTAAATCAATGGAATAGAATTGAGAGTCCAAAAATAAATGCATACATCTATGGTGAAATAATCTTCAACAGGGGTGCCAAAATCATTCAGTGGGGAATGAACAGTCTTACAAAAAATGGTGCTGAGGCAACTGAATATTCACATACAGAAGAATAAAGATGGACACTTACCTTACACTACATACAAAAAAATAACCCAAAATGGATCAAAGACTTAAATATAGGAGCTACAACCATAAGGTTCTTAGAAGAAAACATAAAAGTAAGTCTTTATGGCTTTGTTTGACGATGATTCCTTAAATATGACACCACAAGGACAAGTACCAAAAGAAAAATAGACATATTGGACATCATCAGAAGAAAAATATTTGTGCAATGGACACCATGACAAGCCACAGATGGGGGAAGGTATTTGCAATTCAAATATCTGAAAGGGGTCTAAAATATATAAATAACTCCTATCATTCGACCACAAAATAATAACCCAAAACAACCTAATTAAAAAATGGGCAAAGGGCCCTGACCAAGGGGTTCAGTTGGTCAGAGTGTCATTCCATGCACAGAAAGGTTGCCAGTTCTATTCCAGTCAGAGCACATACCTAGGTTACAGGTTTGATCCCAGTTGGGGTGCACACCAGAGGCAACCAATTGATGTTTCTTTCTCACATTGATATTTCTCTTTCTCTCTCCCACCGCCCAACCCTGTCTCAAATCAATGGGTATACACCAATGGGTGTACATGGAAACATGTACTTGGGTGAGTATTTAAAAAAAAAAAAGGGCAAAGGAGTTGAATAGACATTTCTCCAAAGAAGACATACAAATGGAATGGCAACAAACATAAAAAAGATGCTCAAGATCATTAGTCATTAGCAAAATGCAAATCAAAACAACGAGATAAGTTCATACCCACTAGGACGGTTATATTTGGAAAAAAAGAAAGTGCCCTGGCTGGTGTAGCTCAGTGGATTGAGTGCGGGCCTGTGAACCAGAGTATCACGGTTCAATTCCCAGTCAGGGCACATGCCTGGGTTGCAGGCCAGTTCCCAGCAGGGGACGCATAAGAAGCAACCATACACTGATATTTATTTCTCACTCTTTCTCCTTCCCTTCCCCTCTCTCGAAAAATAAATAAACAAAATATTTTTAAAAAAAAGAAAGTAAGGGATTGCAAGGACATGGAGAAAAGGAATCCTCATGCATCATACATACTGCTGGGTATGTAAAATGCTGCAGGTGCTGTGAACAACATTTTGGTAGTTCCTTAAGAAGAAAAACAGAATTACCATAAGAAAACAATTACACTCTTAAGTATGTGCCCCCTAAAATTGAAAACGTGTTCAAATAAAACTTGTACACAAATTTTGATAGCAGCACTATTTATAACAGCCTAAGTGGAAACAACCCTAACGTTCATCAGCTTATGAGTGAATAAACAATATGTGGTATAGCCATATAAAGGAACAGTATTCCTCCATGGAAAGGAAATACTGATACAAGCTACAACACAGATGAACCTCAAAAGCCTTATTAGGCTAAGTGATAGAAGCCAGACCAAAAAGTTACATATTACATGGTTCCGTTTATATAAAACATCCAGAACAGGTAAATCCATGCAGACAGAAAGCAGATTGGTGAATGAATGCCAAGGGCTTGGGAGAGGGGAGAACAAGGAGTAACTGCCAACTGAGTACAATATTTTATTTGGGGGAAATAATATTTTAATTAGATAAAGGTAGTACATATGCAATAAAGAAAATATTTTATGTGTACTTATTTTTGTGTGTGATTTACATAAGGATAGCTTTCTTCCTTTAAAATAAGTTAAAAACAGTACCCAGAAAAGTTTAATTTAGAGATGAGAAAGCAAGTAGAGTGGAGGCTCAGAGCACTCACAAGGCACTGAGCAGGCCTGACTGAGCCGGATGCTGCAGTGCAGACCTGGGGCAGGAAGACAGCCCCAGCAAGTGCACTAACGAAGGGGTGGGGAGGACATTAACACGGGGAAGAGTGCCAAGCAGAAACTACTTTCTTCAGAGCTTTGCCTGGACTAGGAATATTGTCAATGGAAGAAAGGTAACTTATTTTTCTAAAGTCTTTTGGAAACTCAAAACTCAAAACTTTTCTTTCAGTATGTACTACAACTATACTATCAGTAAACATAATATACCCACACTCTTGTGATTACACCTGAAAAGTAATCGAAGTAGTTCCTATACACACAAGTGGGTTTTCAATACCTATGGACCTAACCCATTGCTGAATTGTAGGTTAAAAGTACATGTTTAAGATACAGACACCCTTTTACAAAATAATTTGAATGCAGTGAAAAGAATTACTCCTTTCTTCCCTAATCCTTCTACCAATTTGAATTGCCTTTTACTATATCAAAGTATTTTTTAAGAATAATATATTAATATTAAATAACTAGGTATAAAATATTTTTTCCAACAGGCAGCCACAAACAGAACAAAGTATTATATACAAAGTGTAATTTGACTTTTTCCTGAATTTGTAATGGACAATAATTAACTTTTACATAGCTATTGCTTTCAATTAAAAATAAATTACCTTCAGGCAGTAGCTCAAGTTTATATTCCAGGCCTTAAGCATTCTACTACCCCCCAAAATGCCCTCTTGTCCACTGAAGTTTTCCTTTCTGCGGCACTAAAATCATGATAGTAGTAGCTTCATTTGTGTGAAAGTTATAAACACATCTTCATAGCAGCATATTTTTCTGTAATGAAAAGATATTCAATGTATATTTTATGTTCCTACAGATAAAGAAAAATACTAGATTTTGTTATGCAGGTTTTACTACAAAACAGTCATTCCAATATCATGGAATCATCAGTTGACTCAACTGAGGGAACTAAAGACCAGAACTGACTTCACATATAACTGCCCTTGACTCTCAGGAGATGACTTAACCTTTCTTATCCAAAGTTAATATTTGGACTTTTTTGTTGTTTCAATTTTTCTTACATTCCAGGTATACTGAAACAAAGACCTCTGCAGTGAACTACATTTTTTTCCACAATGAAAACATTTACTAATAGAGCATCTTTTGGAAGCTTCAGAATAAAGGCCTCCTCCCCAAACCCTACCACTATAAAATCCTGGAATTGATTTGACAAGCTTATTTCTTTTTCTTTCCTTTTTTTAAAAAATATTTTTTTAATTTATTTTTAGAGAGAGGTGAAGGGAAGGAGAAAGAGTGGAAGAGAAACATCAATGTGTGGTTGCCTCTCATGTGTCCCCTAATGGGGACCTGGCCTGCAACCCAGGCATGTGCCCTGACTGGGAATCGAACCAGCAACACTTTGCTTCACAGGCCCATGCTCAAGCCACTGAGCTACACAGCCAGGGCTGACATGCTTATTTCTTAAGCAAGTAGTGTTGGGGTTGGATAAGAAACCGGAAAGGAGAAACTATTAAATATATGGTCTACCAGGGGTGTCCAACCTTTTGGTGTCTCTGCAATACACTGGAAGAAGAGCTGTCTTATGCCACACATTAAATACATTGCGACACATAATCACACAAAAAAATCTCATAATTTTCAGGTTGGGCAACCCTGGACAGTTAATGACTGGACTTCAAAACACACACTAAAGCATTAAATTTCGCTGGCAAATTGCTTTCTAGAATGTTTCAGGTAACATTTAAAAACTGGATTTTACCTATAGTCAAAGCAAAGATTAGGAAAAAAGTGTTAATTTGGAAGCTTATTTTTATTTACAGGGAAAAAGCCCTTTTTATTGCTTATTCATATGTAATACACGGCAGAGGAGAAGAGAGTCTTCAGGTTGTAGTCACTCATACCTCCCTGGGCCATGCTTGGGTTGCTGCTGTTTTGATTTTATTCAACAGCATTTCTATTTGCTCAAAAATTTAGAGGCAATTCTCAGCTGAAATTTCTAAAGACCTATCTTAATATCTGATTATTTCATTTTCTACCTATAGACTTTTGGGTAATAAAATTTATCCATTAAAGTCAGTAGTCTGAAAATAAATCCCCAGACAGAAGAGCTAAAGAATAAAGCCACCTGAGGTTTAGTCTTAGAATTTCTCTTAATTCTATGTAACTTGATTACTGTCTCAAGATTTAAAGTATCTTGAAATCAGTATCAGGTCTTATTAACTGTATCAAAAAAAATCTTGCTCAAAAGTACTTTAGAAATAAAATGTCTTTCATCTTTCCGGTAGGTAAATGACATCTTTTAGGGTAGGTACCTTTAATGAAGTATACAAAATGGATATGAATCAGTGGTTTCAAATTAAATCAAGACTACTAGTTCACAAATATTTTATAGAGCCATTTATTTTTTAAGGATGGGTTTTGAAAGTTGTAGCATTCTAAATCAACACCAAAATTTTAAATGTATGCACATTTATATAGAAAAAATAACCTATTTTTCAGTGAAAAAAATTTAAGACTAGTGTTCAGTATCTCTTTTACATAAGGTTTGTCCTCCCTATAAATTTCCCTGTAATCTTGGTTTCTACCCATTTCTTACCCTGTATATACACACCTCTTTTTATCTCTTTGCTCTTTGAAAACTTCACAAATTATTTTCTGTAATCCTCCCGAAGACTCAGGTAGATCGTATCATCTCTATTTATAGATAAGAAATTCAAAGTTGTCAATTAACTTCCTTAACATTATAGAGAGCATTAGAGCTCAGATTCAAACTAAGTAGGGGAAAAAACCCCAAAACCCAAATAATTAGGGGTCCAAAGCCCATGCACCATCTTATACCACACCACACTATGCAATCATATATCAAAAAAAAAAACTATCATGAAAAAATATTTTTCAAGTTGTTGCTCTCAAGATAACAGTGTGCCTTCATAAGGACCACAGTAAATGAATTGTGTAGAAAATCATTAAGAAGCAAAGCTTGCAGTTAATGTTCTAAGTAAACTTAAAAACACTCAAAGTAAAAGCACTAACTACCCTAGGTTTCACATGGAGACAATACCAAAATTAAAGCCATGTCACTGTTGATAACACACCAAATCTATCATATGGGGTATTCAGTTACTTTGGAACACTTCTTAACTAGTTTTTCTGTAACTTAGTACTCAAATAAAAAGTGTATTTTATTGAATTCAACATTTCAGCATTTTCTGCATTGCCAATTAAGTTTTATCTTATTGAGCATTTAGGTTCTGTATCTTACTGATATTTTTCAATTCAAATTAATGTCAACTTATATTGACTTATCAGGTACTGTATTTTTTTATTTTGATAAATCTCAAATTAATTACTTAAAAATGTAATAATCTACTGATTATGTATTTTTTAAAGATGAGATACAATTTTTAAAAAAATTATCTGAAAACGAACTTAAGTATTTAAAGATTTATTTCAAATTCAATGAAATTTAATTCAGGCAATTTTACTGCTGTAACTTAAAAATCAGTAATGATTAAAGAAGAACCATGTTTAAAGCTGTCAAAAGTCATCCTGACCGATGATGTGGCTCAGTTGCTTGGAGCGTCCTCACTTAAACTGAAAGATCATGGGCTGATTCCCAGACAGGGCACATACCTAGGTTGATCCAGGTCAGGGGCAGGTATCGGAGTCAACGGATCCACCTTTCTCTCTCACATCGATTTTTTTTCCTCTCTCCCTTCCTTTCTCTCTAAAAATCAATAAATATATGTATTTTTAAAACTGTCAGATTTCTCTCCCCTTCTACCAAATTAAAAAATATATATGGATTAAATAGGGAGACTTCAATTAGGCAGCTGTTAAAAGCCTCGTGTGGTCTAACTTCATTAATGAATGCAATTCTCACCATTACAATGAATCACATGATTAAATGACCACATTTATCTGCCAGCCGAGTCCTTTCTTAGGACTTCAGAAAGGAAGTCCTAAGAAAAACTGTAAAACTCTGTGACACAGAGTTTTATAATTTTATTCCTCTAACCATGAGGCTATTCTTCCTTATTTGATCACATTGGCAAAGCCAGTTTAACTGACAGCTAAACTACAATGATGGTAATAATAGCTAACATCTACTAGGTAGTATTTAACTCTCACACCGACTCAAGTGTGAAAGAGAAGTTAATAGAGGGGGCTGGCAAAAGTAGGTTTACAATTGTGGGCAAGGAAAAAGACATGCAAGTAATGATGATCACAACAGCTTTATTAACTCTTTCACGTACTCACAACTGTAAACCTCCTTTTGCCTACCCAGTCTGCAGGCGAGGGAGCATTGGAACCCAGGCATTTGGTTCCAGGGTACGAATTCTAAAAATTGAAAATAGTCCTAGTTTCATCATCATTACTCTCTAATAAGATTGGTTTTCGCTTACAATTGTTTAAATCACTTCTTATATTCTATGGTTGATTGAAATATCGGGTGTCTGCCTAATTAATCTTTAAGGACTTGTTAAAAAAAAAGGGGGGGTGGGGAAACTTTAGTTGTCTTCACCTGTACACATACCGCTCTGCCCACAAATTTTGCAATCCAGTTCTCCCTGATTCTAAACTGCTTTCTCTTGAAGTCCCCCTCTTGGAGCTTTTTTTGGTGAACGCCTTAAAAAATGACTCTGAAATCTGGATAGCATCTCTCCATCCATCCTCCCTCAGAAAAACAACGTAACTACAATAATTCTCGGTCTTCGAGAGTAAGACATACGCCTTTGGGCAACTTCAAGACCCCAAAAAGTCAAAAAGCAGAGGAGGTGGTGTGCGAGGACACCTTCCCTGTTTTAAACATACAAAGGGGCTCCTAAAGAGCGAGGGACGTAAAAAATGGACTCGGGTCAGCGCGGAAGACCACACTCTGGGCTTCCCCGCCCAAGGGGTCCGGCTACTTCTCCGTGGCTGGGCTCAGCGACCCTCCTCAAGACACCTAACCTCCACATTTTGCTGAATGCCTCTCCGGGACACGCGAGCCCCGTCCGGGGCGAGGAGTAGTAGGCCCCGCCAAGTAAGGCCCCAGAAAGGACCCGAGGCAGGGTGCAGACGGCGCCACCACGGCCCAGCTGCAGCAGGGGGCGGGGGCCGGCGGCCGGCGGTTGCTTACGGACCGACGGGTCAGGAGGTGATGGGAGGAGGAGGAGGCAGGAGGAATAAAGGGGCGTTGAGAGAGAGCGTGGTCCGTCGGTGCAGACAGTTCTGCCAAACCTCCGACTGTCCTAGTCCCGCTGCCGCCGAGAGCTCTACAGGCAGATAAGGGAAGTCCACAGAGTGCTGGAGCAGAGGGGAGAAAATTCAAAACGAGTCTACTCAACCTCGTCTTGGCTCCGAGGCCCCGCCATGGAGACTAGCACAATGCGCAGGCGCATCCCATCCAGGATCGAGCTGCGCGATAGTATGAGATAAGACCACTATCGGCCACCGTGGTTAGTTTCCATTTTGATTCTTGACTTTTTCCTCCACACTTCTTCTATAGATTTAAAGCGTGAAGCTAGAGGGGAGACCCCACAAAGAATCTCTGTAGAGAGAGGTTCTCGTGAGTATGCATGATAAAATAAACCTGGAATGGCTTTAGTAAATTAAAGCTAAAGAGAAAGGAAATTTAATGAACATCTGGTTGGAATCGGGATGGTTTAATGCAGATAATTTATCCTGAAAAAACAGCGTGGCAAAAAGACTACAGTTCCCAGTGCATCTAGCGTCCGAGAAGCGGTGCTTTCTGGGGCTTGTATTATGTAGGAGCTGTACTCAAGTATCGGATCTAAAGGTAGACTTTCACATTTAAAAATAGAAGAAGCGAGAGAAAATCAGGTTTGAATTGAGTCTTTCTGTATTTTCATATCCCACCACAGGCCTAAACATATGAAAAAGAAACAAAAAGGTTAGAGGGACACGCCATCTTTAAGACTTTGCTTTCCTAATCGATGATTCCTAAATCTAGGAATAGGTAGTTGATGTTTGTGGGCTGGGCATCTGTGGAAGGGCCACCTCGTGGTCTGTTCTGGCTGAGGAGGCCGGGACGAAAGAAGGCGGAATTCCAGCTCTGGATTGCAGTTTTTTCTTCCCTGTGCAGTCTAATTTAGAGCTGCCTCTCTTTGTAGTCCGAAGGGACCAGAGCGCGCGTTGTCTGTTACCCCACACGTTGCTGTGGGCGAGTTTTGTGCCTACTTCTCGCGATGGCTCAGCTCCAGACACGCTTCTTCACTGACAACAAGAAGTAAGTAAGCTCCTCTCCTCTCCCGTGTCAGGGACCCCTTCGGTATAAGCTTGTGGATCCCTGTCTTTGCTGTATTCACTTGTACACAGCCCCCCTTCCTTTTTCTTTTTAGGCGTATTTTCCGCTCAAGCGGAAATCCTAGAGGATTTCTCAGGGTAAGACCTCTAATGTCACCTCAATACTGTCGGGCTTTCAGACTCTATATAATTTAAACTGTGAATGTGGAGGGGCCGGAGGGCATCGAGCTTGCTTTTTGAGTTAAGCACATTATGTAATTAAACAATTGACCAAGTGTAGTGGTGTTTGTTTCTGAAACACGACTTCATTTTCTTAAGTAGATGGCAGATGATGATTTCCTACACCAGGCTAGAAAGTGGAGCTCCGAAGAGGGGGTTGGTAGAACTGTTTTTTGATAGGAGTATGAAGTCAAAACACTTACAGATTTGTGTGTGCGCGTGTATGTACATATCTAGGTATACGTATGTGTATATACGAGGTATGTAGCTGTGTGTATACATAATATGTAAACATTTTCAACATTAGTTCCCAGGTCCGTAGCATTCATTTGAAACCTAATTACATTCTGCCTCATGGGGTGTTCGTAGTTTTATGAGTTGACCTGGTGAATCATAGTCACTCCTTGCGTTGTTGCTTACGGTATACATAAATTGTATTATCAGTGTACATGAGTGTGTATACTTAAGTGTCAACACCTCTCAAGTAATGTGATGATGCAATAGCATAGCCACTGTACCTTTTCTAATTGAATTTTTTATTATTATTGATTCACATGAAATCTTAAGAAATAAATGTATCACTGTATTTTAACCCCTGAGATAAACTAATGTGTGTGTGTGTGTGTGTGTGTGTGTGTGTGTGTGTGTAGATTCTGGAAAAATATGTAATATGTTCTGGTCAGATGAAGGGATAAAACCGTTTTATTCACCTATATGTATATAGTTTACATATATATACTCTGTATATTTATAATGTGCATATGAATTTTGCTATTCCTTCTATCCCACCCCCATTTTACTGACCAACGTGGTAAGTGAAAGGAAGAATGAAAAGTTTTCATTTCTATAAATAAATAAATATTGTTACCTTTTGGAAAGTCTAACTAACTGCTTACTACTCTTGGCATGATCAATATATAACTATAGCTGTACTACTCAGTGTAGTTTGAGAACTGTCATCATCAGCATAACTTGGGAGCTTGTTAGAAAAAGCAGAATCTCAGCCTCCACCCCAGACCTCCTTGTTTAGAATCTACTTATTGACAAGCTCTGAAGCCCCATTGTGACAAAAAGAGGCTTACTGTAGCATTTCTTGAAGGGCCCTGTAGGTTCTACCTTAATATCTTTGGAAACTTTTCCATTCCCCACAAATGCAGCCTTAAATTTGGCCTTGTAGAGATTTCTTTTTTCATTAATTGTCCTTTTATTTTTTTAAAGATTTTATTTATTTATCTTTAGAGGGGAAGGGAAGGAGAGAGGGAGAGAAATATCAATGTATGGTTGCCTCTCATGCATTCCCTGCTGGGAACTGACCCAGGTATATACCCTGTCTGGGAATCAAACTGCCATCTTTTGGTTCGCAGGCCCGAGCTCAATCTACTGAGCTACACCAGCCAGGGCCTGTCCTTTTATTTTTTTTTATAAAAACTTTGAGATGTAATTCACATACAACAGAATTCACAACATTTAAAGTGTTCAATTCACTGGTTTTGCAGAATTATTCAACCATCACTACAGTAAATTTTAGAACATTTTTCACTACCCAGTCCTTTCACTCCCCCAGCCCTAATCAATAATTTAATCTATTTTCTGTCTGTATAGATTTGTGTGTTCTGGACATCTCATATAAGGGGAACTATATAACATGTGGTCTTTGGTGACTGGCTTGAAGAGTCTTCCATGTTGTAGCATGTATCAGTACTTCATTCCTTTTTATGGTCAAATAATATTCCATTATACAGATAACACCACATTTTGTTTCCATTGTTTAGTTGATGGTCATTTGGGTTGTTTCTACCTTTTAGCTATTATGAATAGTGATGGTGTGAACATTTGTGTACAAGTTTTTGTATGTACATGTATTTTCATTTCTCTTGGGTAATACATACTTAGGAGTGGAGTTGATGGGTCAAATGTAAGTTCATGTTTACCACTAACTTTTTCAGGCACTACAAGATGTTTCCAAAGCAGCTGCACTGTTTTACCTTTCCCACGTGCAGTGAATAAAGGTTTAATTTCTCTACATTCCCACTGACACTTAACCTTTCTTTTCTTTGGTCACTATTTATCACACTTACTTGAATAGTCTGGGTGAGCAATTTAATAACTCTTAGCTATTGTTTATCTGCTCTCCTTGCACTCCTGCTTTTTGTCTCTCCCTCTTTCACTCTGCATGCTTTCAGACTCTGCTCTCCCATCCTCCTTTTCTCTAGGAGGAAATGACCTATGGCTTCTTTGTTCCTCCATTTTATATGTTATGTATGACACCATTCTTATGTAGTTTATTGTATTTGGGTACCAGATATTAACCCTTTCTGAGAACAGAGATGACGTCTTAATTAATTTTGTTAACCCCATGTAGCAAAATGACGTGTATTAGACACTAAATAAATGTTTGTTGAACAAATAAATGCACATTCATTAAAATAATCTTTGTAAAATCATCTGTTAAGTGGACTTAATCTTGATGTGTTATTTCTTTTTTATAGATATGCAGTGGATGATGTTCCCTTCTCAATCCCTGCAGCTTCTGAAATTGCTGACCTTAGTAACATTATTAATAAATTGCTGGAGGCCAAAAATGGTGGGTATATATGTTCTGAAAAGTTAGGATGGCACAATATGACTAGTTACAATAAATTCCATCACATTTTATTTTTTTAAAGATTTTATTTATTTTTAGAGAGGGGAAGGGAAGGAGAGGAGAGGGAAACATCAACATGTGGTTGCCTCTTATTCCCCCCCTACTGGGAACCTGGCCCGTGCCCTGACTAGGAATTTAACCCGTGGCCCTTTGGTTCACAGGTTGGTGCTCAATCCACTGAGCCACACCAGCCAGGGCAATTCCATCATATTTTAACACTTCCTTTTTTGGCCTTATGTTATAATACTGCATGCATTTTATAATGGTAAAATTTATAAATTATAATGTGAGTTTCTCTGGTTTGAAATAAAAGTATTCAGAAAATAATATTTCGGTTTAATCTGTTTTTTAAGACTTGAGATTTAGGGTAAAGATTTTAGTATAATGTTTATGATATAGATGTAATCAAGACATTTTGAGTATGCTGAAGATATTTTTTAAGGATTTTTTAAAGTGTTTGGGATTCATAAAATGAATGTATAAAACAAACATGTAAGAATATCAAGTAAAATATTTATCAAGATACAAATAGTAAAAATCTAAGTGTGAATATAAGTTATTAGCCCATAAAATCAATATAAACAATTTGTACAAAAATATTGATTAAAAAACATTGACCCTAAATTGATCATTTGAGTTTCACGATAAGTATATGAAGGTTATTATTATAAAGTTTATTCTCCATTTTTGCATATGTTTGAAATTTTTTATAATAAGATGGTTTTTAAAAAGCAAAATCATACCCTTCCCAGGTGGCTCAGTTAGTTGGAGCATTGACTCATACAGCAAAAGTTTCCGGGTTCGATTCCTAGTCAGAGCACACACCTAGGTTGAGGGTTTGATCCCTCATCCCAGGATATGTTTTTATTATTTACTTATTTGTTAAGATTTATTTTTTAGAGCGAGGGGAAGGAAAGGAGAAAGAGAGGGAGAGAAACATCAGTGTGTGGTTGCCACTCGCATGTCACCTATGGGGCACCTGGCCCTCAACCCAGACATGTGCCCTGACTGGGAATCGAACCTTCGACCCTTTGGTCTGCAGCCCATGCTCAATCCACTGAGCTACACCAGCCTGGGTGGATATGTTTTTATTGATTTTAGAGAGAAAGGAGGGGAGGGAGAGAGAAATAATGTGAGAGAGAAACATCGATTGGTTGCCTCCTACTCACACCCCAACCAGGGATGGAACCAAAACCTAGGTATGAGCCTTGACCAGGAATCCAACCCGAAAACTTTTGGTATAAGGAGGATGCTCCAACCAACTGAGCCACCTGGCCAGGGCTATTTTTTTACTTTTTATCCTCACCTGAGGGCATGCTTAAAGAGGAGAAGCAATGGGGAGGAGCAGGGCGGAGAGAAACATTCATTGGTTGCCTCTTGTAGGCACCTGGACCAGGGATCTAACTATGTACCCGCACTGGGAATGGAATACATGACCCTTCTGTCCATGGGATGACATTCCTACCAACCAAGCCATACAGGCCAAGGCCAGATTTCAGATTTTTAAAAAGTAACAATCCAAATAGTTCTTTCAGAAAGATTATCTGTAATAAATGCAAAAGAATAAAGAATTTTTAGCATATTGTAACTCTAAATGAAATAATGGATTTAAGTAGTGATTTTCAGTAGCTGCTAAAATCATTAATTAGGTAAAAGGTTGATAGAGAACTTGATGAGTGGGATCATGCTGACATCATCCTAGCCCAGAGGTGAGTGCAATATCATAAAAAGAGCAGATCTGAAATCTAATCAGAATTGTTAAAAGTCTGCCTCATGTACAGGATATATAGGTGGTAGTGGAACATGTTAAATGACACCACACAAATGTAATCAGCCCAACCCAGATGTAAGAAATACTGAAAGACAGATGACCCAGTTTCTTCAACAAATAAATGAATGCCCAGGGAAATAAGGAAACTCTTAAAGATTATTGTTATAAAATATATTAATCAAATATAATTTGTGGGCTTTAGATGCTGATTCTAAAAAGCTCACTGTAAAAATATTTATGATATAAGGAAACATGAATATTGAGTATTTGATACTCAGGAGTAATTATAGAATATTTTAATGTGACTTTTCAAAAGCCTTTATAGTATACAGGTACATATTAAAGATTGACAGATGAAATGATACCATATCGGAAGTTTGCTTTTAAAATAAAGCAGTGGGTATGTAGAGGGAGAAGTATAGGTAATTGTCTGTGAGTTGGTAATTGCCAAAGTGTATAATGGGGATGGGGATTCATACGTTATTTCTACTTTATATATATTTGAAATTTTTCATAGACTAAAACATTTTTTAAAAACCTAAAAATTGTACCATCAAGAACAAAACAGTTTTACCAACAGAATGAACTATTTTTGTTCTTAAAAATCACTTAGTATATAGGGACCCGTGACCTGATTACACCATGGAGAAATTCAGAGGCCACACTGGAATAATAGGAATCCATTTGTTTTGGGGTCTCTTACATACCTCTGTCAATGTCACTTCAGGTCCTAAGAATGATAATTTCATTAACATATTTTCTCCAGAGGTCCACAAACACGTGGAGTTTGACTTCCTTATCAAAGGCCAGTTTCTGCGAATGCCCTTGGTCAAACACATGGAACTGGAAAACATCTCATCTGTAAGTTCAAATGCTACCTGCTCTGTTTTACTTATTATCAGGTAAATTTCATTTAGAATCAGCCAGAATCTTCAGTAACTAAGATCCTTTTCACTAATTTTTTTCCTCAAAATTTGAATTTCAGTTTCTATATGTTCAAATTTTAAATCCTCTCTTGGAATATATTATTTAAGAAATGCAGATGAATGAATATGTGAAGATATCTTCATACTTGCAGAAGAACTGTCACGAAAGGGAATAGCAAATAGTGTTTGCTACACATAAAGGTGTACAAAGTGATTGTGCACGTGTAACAACATACAGGTTGCATTACTGTGATTTAGAATAATTTTTCTTCCTTTGCTCTAATTTTCAAACTTTTGCTTTTATATTGGGTTGGCCAGAAAGTGCATATGTTTTTTTCTGTAAAAGACACATTTTTTATTTTCACCAATAACTTTATTGCATTGTGTATTTCAAGTATGTCGGCTATCTCCCATGTGGTATAATGTTGATTGTTCTCAATGTCTTGACTGCTATCAACTTCAACTGGCCTACCCATCCGTGGGAGCATTGTCCAGTGGGAAATCTCCAACATGAAACTAGGCAAACCACTTTTGACACATTCAGTCAGTCACAGCATCTGCATACACTGCACAAATCTTTTTTGTGTGTTTCAGTTGCATTTTGAACTTTCTTGAAATAATAAAGCATAATATGCCAAAAATGTGCTTATATTCTTCCATGTTCAATATTAAAATGGTTACACAAAAATTCACTAATTTTGTTTTTTTCTAAATGCATGCTGATATACAGCTGTTATAATACAATGCAATATTCTCGAATGAAGCTAAAAACAACTAAGCACTGCTAGAGCCATCTTACAGGGGGGAAATGAACTTTTTGGCTAACTCAATACATAAAATATATCATTTTAACCATTTTTAAATACACAATTCAGTGGCATTAACTACATTCACAATGTTATGCAACCATCATCCTCTCCATTTTGGGTACTTTTTTATCATCCTAAACAGAAGCTCTGTACCTATTTAACAATATGGTTTTGTGATTTTATAAATTAAATTTTCTTATATTTCTTTTTTCCTCATGTTTAGCATAAGATTTCTAAGGTCATTAACATTTCTTAGTAGTACTCATAATATACTGTCGGATCAAATAGTTTTTCACTTTTGTATGGCTCCAAATTTTCTGGCTTATGAAGGGGGCAGACATACCAGAGATTATTAAACTTGGGTCCTATGTCATTATAATGTACCATTTTAAGACTACACCACCTGATTTCTGCTTTCTCTCTGACTAGGAAGAGGTTGTGGAACTAGAATATGTGGAGAAATATACTGCACCTCAGCCAGAGCAATGCTTATTCCATGATGACTGGATCAGTTCAATCAAAGGGACAGAGGAATGGTACTGCCAGATGCATGTTCTGTATCCTTCTCATGCCACCCCCTTCAGTGTTTATGATGGGAATTTTCTCCTCTGATTTCTCTGTTCTCTATAAATGTAATTTGTGATATATGTATCAGTGACCATACCAAAGATTTTTACATTCACTGTAAGTTAAGAAGAAACATTTATTAGTAAGTTTTCTTTGTGAAGATGTAGTGACATTTGCATTCTGAATAGGTCAGGTGTCAGGGCATTTGTTTGAGTATGTTGCTTTTAAGACCAAGGATATAATTTATTTAATAGAGGAGGAAAATTATTTTTATAGTTATAAATCTCCTGGCCTGCTATGATGAAGATGCATGCCATGCTATTTTAGAGTTAAAATTGGCAAACTGGAATCAAGAAGTTATATATGGCTCCGAGCAAACCCCAGCCTGGCCTTACTTGTGAAAAAATACCTCAAGAGTGGTGTGTAGTGGTAGCTTACATTCACAGAACGTCTCCCAGAGTTGTTATACAAGGTTAATGTTTTTACTGGTTTATTCTAAGTGGTTTTACTGTTTTTCTATTTAATGGTTGTCACTAGTTAAATACAGAGTACAGCCAACTTGCTTAGCTTTCCCAAGAGTTGTATTTACAATAGTATAAATGAAATGTAGAATTTGTCAGTTGTGTTTTTATTTTTAGTAGATCAGGAAAAGCATAACGTAACACCTTCTGATCTATCTACTCTAGTATGTTTTGAAATCTTAATCTTCATATTAAAGGAGAGTTTAAAAGAATTATCCTTAAGGTTGACTTTGTCCTTACCTTAGAAATATAATTGATTTCAGGGTTTGAAAACTGCTTTTTGTATTTCATAGGATTTTTTTTCTCCTTGCAGGATCTTAACTGGTTCTTATGATAAGACTTCTCGGATCTGGTCCTTGGAAGGAAAATCAATAATGACAATTGTGGGACATACAGATGTTGTAAAAGATGTGGCCTGGGTGAAAAAAGGTAAGGTTTCTGCTTAAACTGAGAGGAATCCTGGATAGAGATTGGAAGTAAGCCATTTTCAGTGCTGGCTTACTTCCATTTTCAGTGCATATTCTACGCCATATTCTGCTGGCGTAGAATATGGACAAGGTAGGAAATGTCTCCTGGCTCAGTTATTGTGAGGTCTTTGAAAAATACAGTGTTCAAGAAGAAAGGAATATATAAACAATTCATGTTAATAGAAGTGAATCTTACTAAAAATATATCAGATAACATATTTTTAAGGAAAGATTGTGTTAAACTCACTTTATTTTCAAAAGTTTTACTTACTGGTTTTAGAGAAATAGTGATTTGCTATTCCACTTATTTATGTATTCATTGGTGGTTTTTTACATGTGCCCTGACCAGAGATCAAACTGCAACCGTGGCATATTGGGACAGTGCTCTAACCAACTGAGTTACCCAGGCAGGGCTTAAACTCATTTCTTTTATAATATTTTTACCATAAGTTAGCCTCTTTTTCAAAGCTGGACAAAATGGCCTTTTTATCTTTTTAATGTTTTTCCTCAACAACATCCTGAATTTGGTTTCAGAACACAGTGTATTTTAAACTTTTGTACTAACTTGTTTCTTACCCTTGTGCTATCCTTTCTTCAGACAACTTGTCTTGCCTACTGCTGAGTGCCTCTATGGATCAGACTGTTCTCTTATGGGAGTGGAATGTAGAGAGAAACAAAGTGAAAGCCCTGCACTGCTGCAGAGGTCATGCTGGAAGTGTGGATTCTATTGCTGTTGATAGCACAGGAACTAAAGTAAGTAGCTGTGGTGTTAGCAGTACTGTTTAGACTTTGAATTTATGGAAAGGAAATTTCTACATATATTCATTATGATCGGCCTATTTTCATAACAATTGCTGACTAAAGAATATGATTTCAAACCAAAAAGTAAATACTCATATGATAAAAGATGCAAAAATGGACTTCTTCAGTCTCAGTGTATCTCTGGTTTAAAACTTAAATAAACTGCAGAAATTTTAAGAAACCAGGTAAACAAGCAATTTGTTTAACCTTAAATCATAATGACATTTTAAACCTTTCAGATACTCACAATGCTGTTACTAGTTGAAAATATCTACTTGAATAACTAAAAGCCTTAGCATACACTAAGGTTATTGTTACTAGAGGTTGTTTTAATATTCTTGCTGATCTCTTTATCATGACAAAGTGCATGAAGGTTAGTTAAAAGGAAATAAACCTGAAGGCAATACTGCATTGACTTAGGAAGAATTACAAACTCTCTTACCATTTGAAAGTTCCATGTGCCACTTTTTATGAGTGTTTCTTCAGCATTTTTTGCCAGTTAATATATTAGAGTTAAAGATTTATGATTGTTCATACTTGAACCATCAAGAAGGTTTACAAGTCCAAGTGAATTCATTGTACCTTGTCATGTGGCTGTAGAAGACAGGAGCTCATCTGGAATTTTTTCAGCTTAAAGATCATGAGATCCAAGGGCAGAGCAAACACCACATTATGAGCAGGGTGATGATGCACTTGGGTCTCAGGAACCAAGGAGTGAAGGCTTGAATGTGGCCAGCACACTCTCCCTTTTGTCTCCCCAACTTGACTTTATGCTCTCTTACCTCAAATTGATTTTTCCACTTGGCAGTAAAGCCTGGCCTTCAGTATTCTCAGGTTTTACATTTTGTACCAGCTATTCCTGGAAAAAGACTAAACTACACTCTCTGGAATACAAACTTTCAAAAAAAAAGTCCTCAAGGATAAAGACCTGTAGATATAGTGGAGGTCAGTTGTCCACCCTGATCTAAGCAACCATGGCGAGGGCACTGGGCCAAGTAAGAACGGCAGCTTCTTCAGTTGCCAAAAATTGAAGATACAACTTTTAGGAGGCCTAGAAAGACAGGCAGATAATACCATAGTAGTAAGGATTTCAGAGGAAAGTAAAGGTTTTAAGTTAAATAGGGGAAAAAAGCAGATAATATGGGTTATAGTTATAAATTTTTTCCCCTTCATATATATCTGTTTAGTTTTGCAGTGGCTCTTGGGATAAGATGCTGAAGATCTGGTCTACAGGTAAATCAAATCTTTCTTCTATTTTGATTAATGATATTTTAAGAATTTCAGTGAAAGAGTTCTTTTTAACCTGTATTTTACCATAAAAAAATGGACCAGGACTTTATAGGATACAAAGGAGCATAGTAGACAGAAAAAATAGCATGTTTCTCTATGTTTCAAAATGTTTTTATACCCCATGATCACTTTGTTTATTGGACAGTGTCATTGAGTGGCTGGAAGTGTCAGCAACATGTTTGGTGCCATGTGGGATGCAGCTGCCTGAGTTCTCTCATTCAGGAATCTGGAAATAAACCAGAATACCTTCTGAGTAATTTCAATATACTTTACTGTTAGAGAAATTTTCTTAGTTAAGCTGGTTTGCTTGGGAAAAAAAACCAAATAAACTTTTAATACAGTTTTACCAAACTTGTTACTTTGAAAACAATACATTAGAAGGAACAAATAGAGGAAGTGGAAGAGGGGGAAGGAGGACTCTCAGAGGAAGGTGCCTTCATAGGAGTAAGAAGACACTGAAAGAAGATGGGGAAAACAGATCGTTTAAATTTTAAAAGTAGTAGTCTAGAACTGTTTATGGTACAGGTAAACAGATCAGAATACCTCTGATACAAGTAGACTTCGGGGGAATAGGAAAAGCTTAAAGATTTTTTGGTAACTATGTATAAGATGGCAGGAAATATACAATCCATTTTAGTAGATATCCCAAAAATGCTTACAATAAACAGTTTTGAAGCAGAAAGTGATTTGTTTAGGAAATTTCCCTATTCAATATTTTATTTTTTGCTGGTTCTGGGTAAATGAGACGTATATAAGTTATGTTTAAGACACTTAATAGTCTAACTTGTAAAAAACTTTCATATTCATAAAATACAATTATAAAACATAAAATATGTGGTTTTCCATCTGGAAGTTTGCTACCTGGCCAAATGATGTGTAACAAATATTTTTTAAAAATCAAAAATACCTATAAAACACTTAAGTTCATTGTTAGAAAAGTAAAATAATAATAATAAACATAGCTGGAATGTATGTCCTTTTAATGTGTTTATCTTGTGGCATTACCTTTGTCATGTAAATGCAGTATGGCCAGAACTGTCCTGCAACTATTAGTAAGCAGTTTTCATAGATACAGTAGAGTAATGAATACTTATAATAATCTTAAAGACATAGCAAGATACCAAACTGGTTAGCTTCTAGGATTTTAATGTGCTTTACTTTTTACTTTATCCTTTTGGAAGATTGGTGACACGGATATTGTTTTTATGTATAATTTTCTTTAACCAAAATAAGTAGGAATATCTTATCTATTCCCTAGCCACTAAGATAATGTGGAGAAAGTATATACTCAGAAATGTAAGAATTCCTTTAGACTGTTTGCAATTAATGTTTACCATAAATTTTTAAAATATCAAATCTAATTCTCTATGATACAGTCCCTACGGATGAAGAAGAAGAAATGGAAGAACCCACAAATCGACCAAGAAAGAAGCAGAAAACAGAGCAGTTGGGACTAACAAGGGTAAGTTTTGGTGAGAACTGCTCTACTTAAGTTTGTGTCGACAGATACGGTAACTTAATAAAATTTTTCCTAAGTTTCCCTTTGTCTTGCTTGGCTGCTTCAGCCATAATTAAGCTTTCAGTAGATTTGTAAATACTTACTAGAAATACTCCAGCTGCATTTATCTGAGTCATTGACTGTGTAGTAGCATTGAGTTGGGCTTACCAATTGGTAGGCTGATTATTTAGATGTTATATTTAATCTCATGGTGGATTTTGAAGTAGGATCTTTCCAAAGCTTGCACTAAAGTGAAGCGTCTCATTACCTGTTTAATCATGATTTTTTCATACACTGAGGATGTAATTCTCACGAAGGGATGCTTGTGGTATCTTCTGAATCATTAGAAACCAAGAGTTTAATTGAGGTTTTGGTTCTGTCATTTAGATTCAAGTAAATCAAAATGAGAAATTCATCTGTATTCTTATTCTTTTAAGTTACGGAGGTATTTGTCATAGTATGATCTGACCTACATTAATATACCTAATGTGAAGGACAATACTGAGTCCGGTTTAGAAAAACATTTTTCATTCATTTTCTCACAGCTGTGATGAATGTGCAGTAAGTGAAGCACACATTATTTCTTATAGTCACTAATAAGATACAGAAATCATTGAAAGGGAGAGTAAAGTGTGATCATACATGATTCATCAAACTCATAAAATGCAGTGAACAGCAGCACTTGCTGGTTCCAACTGAAAGTAGTGATCTATAGTTCAATACATTTTAATCATGGACTGCTGAATTGCAAGAGGAATGATCTGGCAGCAACTTAGCTTCCTTATCACTTCGTCCGGTGGGACAAATTAGAACTTTAAATGTCTTGCCAATTTGGATATTGTGTCAGTTGTAATTTATTGATGCATATCCCTGATCAGTCTCCGAAGAATATATTTGATTATAGTATAATTTCTTTTTTTTGTATTATTTCTTGAATTATAAAAATTCCTCATAGAATGTAGCTTTGTTTCTTTCTACTTTTCTTATTTTTAAAGAGAGGAAACTTATTTTATTTTTAAATATTTATATTTTTTTAGAGAGGGGATGGGAGGGAGAAAGAGGGGGAGAAAGAAACATTGATGTGTAGTTGCCTCTCATACACCCCCAACTGTGATCTTGGCCTACATCCCAGACATGTGCCCTGACTAGGAATCGAACCGCTGACCCTTTGTTTTGCACAAATCAAGCACTCAATTCCCTGAGCCACAACAGCCAGGACTACCTTTCTTTTAACTGAAGTTTGGTATGCATATATTTAAATGTATAGGTCAATGAATTTTAGTAATGTATAGTATTCCTTTACATAACTATACCAGGATTTATTCATTCTTCTTCTGACAGACAGGTAGGTTGTTTCCAGTTTTGGCCATCATAAATAAAGTTGCCAAAGAAAATTCTTCCACTTGTCTTTTGGTGTATATGTACAGTCATTTCTGCATATGTGGAATGGCTGGATCATAGGGTATGCACATGTTCAGGTTTTTGAATGTGAGATACTGCCAAATAGTTTTTCAAACTATACCAGTTTATACTTTCACTGGCAGGGTATGAGATTCAGTGTTACTCCACATCCTTACCAGTACTGGTTGATATTTTTAATACCATAACTGATTTTACTTTACCATATAACATATGTTTAATTTACTTACTGTTACAAAGTGTGTCATTTTGTCTATTCCTGGTAGTGTGTAGTGGTATTTAAGTCCCAGCCCTTTGACACCTAATTGTGAAGTGTATGCTTGTGTTTTTAGCCCAGTTTTTAAAAGTGTTGCTTATCTTCTTACTGATTTATAGGAGTTCTTCATGTATTCTGGTTTCAAAGTCTTAGTTGGATATATGTATTATAGGTATTTTCTCCCAGTAAGTACCTTGCTGAAACTTTTGTTTTTAGATATGTACTTTTATAAGCTTGTATTCATTGTTCATTTTATTTGAGAAATCATAATGTATTCACTTTTTCATAGGTTATGCTGGAATCCTTTGAAGTAAAAATTGTGCTAGAATTGGGGGGGAGGTGGATTTTTAAGACTATAAAATAAGACAAATATCAAAAATGTTATCTTCTTATTCTTTCTAGTACCTAATTTGTATTAATACGAGTAAAATGCTACTACTCAGTTAACTTGGCATTTGTTTCATACATGAATATACAGTAAGTTGTTTTCCTCATTTTTCTCTCACAGTTGCTTTTTTCACTCCAGTACTATCTTACTGGAGTTTGTAGTGATGGTGCCAAAGTTGACTTTCCTTTTTTTTTTTTTTTAAACCAACATCTCATTTTTAAAAAATCCTCACCCAGGATGTGTTTATTGATTTTCAAGAGAGAGGACAGGGTGGGGAGAGAGAAAGAGAGAGAAACATCGATTTGTTTGCCTCTTGTATATGACCCAACTGTGGATCAAACTTGCAACCTAGGCATGTTCCGTGATCAGGAATCTAACCTAGTATAGAGAGCAATGCTCCAATCACTGAGCCATCCAGCCAGGACAACTTTTCTGTCTTCAAAAAGAAACAAATTTACATATAGAAAAATGTACTCTCTTTGGTAAAAAGTTTCTGAATTTTGATAAATGTGTAGAATATTCAACCACGTAATAATCAGATACAGAACAGTTTGTTATCCCCTGAAACTCTTGCTGTGCACTGATAGTCAGCCTTTCCCTCCACCTCTGTCCTCTGCAGCCATTGATGTGGTCTTCATTCCTGCCATTTTCCTTTTTGCAGAATGTCATATAAATGGAATCACACAGTATATAGACTTTGCATCTAGATAAACTCGAGTTATTGGAAGTCATGACTTTTAAAAGCTGTATAATACTCTTTTTGTATGGACATACAACAGTTTGTTTAATCATTCACCAGTTGAAGGTTCCTTTAGGTTGTTTCTAGTTTGATGGTCATAAATAAAATTGCAATAAAAATTTGTGGATAGTTTTTTGTGTCAGGTTCCCTTACTTTATTCAGGAAAATTTTAGAGATGGAAAGAGAGAACTTTGGGATCATGTGGTCCAAGAGTTAACAAAGTACAGCCCAACAGCCAATTTGTCTGTGTCCTAATTTTTGTACTACTAAGTCTGATTTTAAAGAGGTTTTAAAGACAAACCAAGAATATGAGACAGAAATTATATGTGACCTGGAAAAGCTAAAAAAATTATTTCTGGACTTTACAAAAAACGTAGCTGACCTCTGATTCAGTATAACTCCCTAGTATTATAGAAGAGGTAATACTATTGAAGGAGGCTGAATGTATCAAAGTTGCAAAATTAGATTAACTGTCTTATTTCAGAATTTTCCTCTTTCACATGTTCTTTATATTTTAAGATAGACACTATATCTAATTTGGGGATTTTAATTTGAGATGGTAAGTAGAGGTTTTATAATATTATAATAAGCCATAAACATATTTAAAGGTTGGATGCTATGGAAATAAAGGAGGTAAGAATAACTTATTTAGATTAATTTAATATGGAAGAATCATGTAGAAAATGGCAGCACCTTCACTCAAACCTAGATCTGACCCCAGAGCTTTCTCTGTTGTCTTCTATATATAGTATATTTGACGATCGAAAGAAGTTAGTGTTAATATTAATAGTTCTCAAAATGAAAAGTAGCTCTGGCTGGTGTAACTCAGTGGATTGAGTGCCAGCCTGCAAACCAAAATGTCACCAGTTCTATTCCCGGTCTAGGGCACATGCTTGGGTTGTGGGCCAGGTCCCCATTTGTGGGCCTGTGAGAAGCAACCGCACATTGGTATTTCTCTTCTCCTCTTTTTCCCTCCTGTTCCCCTCTAAAAAATAAAATATTTTTTAAAAAAGTGAAAAGTAGAATAGATGGGAAGGCGGCAGAGTATAGGGAAAAGACTCCAAACTTTGGAGTAATACCTGGGTTGGAATTTAAATCCTTATAAACTGTATGATCTTGGGTAAGTTACCTTTTAGCTTTAGTCTCTCTATAAAATTATCGGTCTTGGAGGATTGTGGTAAAGAAGAAATAAGGCAGGATGTGAAAGCCAAAGCACATGATGAAATATCTGTAATATGGACTTCAGAAATACTAACTACTATTACTGTTTCAATTACTCTGAACTGAAAATGCTTTCCCTTTTGGGTATCTTTCATTTCTAGACACCCATAGTGACCCTCTCTGGCCACAAGGAGGCAATTTCCTCGGTTCTATGGTCAGATGCTGAAGAAATCTGCAGTGCATCCTGGGACCACACAATTAGAGTGTGGGATGTTGAGTCTGGCAGTCTTAAATCAACTTTGGTGAGACATAAATTCAGTGGTACTCTGATTAACTTTGAGCTTTTAAGTGGTAAGCTTCTAGAGATGATTACTTTTAAACCACCAAGGTTAAGTATCCTTTCCTCTTTTTCTTTTCAGACAGGAAATAAAGTATTTAATTGTATCTCCTATTCTCCACTGTGTAAACGTTTAGCATCTGGAAGTACAGATAGGCATATCAGACTGTGGGATCCCCGAACTAAAGGTGAGTCATGTAAACCACTGGAGGAAAAATGCATGTAAATACCATCACTTTTTCTTCTCACTAGAGGTGTATATAAAAAGATAATTTTCTACATTAAAAAATATTTTATTTATTTATTTTAGAGAGGGAAAGGGAGGGAGAAAGAGAGAGAAGCATGTGTATTTTTGCCTCTCATGCATGCCCTAGTGGGGACCTGGCTCACAACCCAGTCACATGCCCTGACTGGGAATTGAACCGGCGACCCTTTGGTTTGCAGGCTGGCACTCAGTCCACTGACCCACACCAGCCAGAGCTCTACATATAATTTTTTAGATTTGTTCTGCCTGCTTCTAAAATTCAATAATTGTTACCTTTTTTTATTTTGTTCAGATGGTTCTTTGGTGGCACTGTCCCTAACCTCACATACAGGCTGGGTCACAGCCATAAAGTGGTCTCCTACCCATGAGCAGCAGCTGATTTCAGGTTCTTTAGATAATATTGTCAAGCTGTGGGATACAAGAAGGTAAATCCTATTTATGATCCACAAAAGAAATATATCAATTGCCTGTCGTATACAGAGAAAATGCAATGATAAATATATCAAAAGGGACACAACTGGAAGGCCTCTCTCTGAAGGTGGAATTCTAATAGTGAATTGAACAATGTGTAGGTATGAGCCATGCACAGATCATAGCAGAGGCAAAAGTAGATAAAGTGGGGAAAATCTGTGCATATTGACGAAATAGCAAGAGAGCCAGTGTTGATGGAATAATCAGAATGGCAGTACATGAGGCAGGAAGTGGTTATATTGGGCGGGACCTTGTAGGTCTCAGTAAGGAATTTGGGTGTCATTCTAAGTGCAGGCTTTAGAGGTTTTTGGAGCAGGGGAGCAAGAATAGAAGCAGAGAGGCTAATATAATTCAAGAGACAGAATGGCGATTTGGACTATGGGGGTAGCATTTGAGATTTTAGGTATATTTTGGAGATAGCCGTTTGGCAGCATTGACTTATATAGAGGTAGGAATTTAGGATAATGCCTGCATTTCCTACTCAGCAATTGGGTGATTGATTATTGGTGCCACTTGCTATAATGGGGAAGAGGAGAAAAAGCAGTTTATGAAGGAAAATCAAGAACTTTTGCTTGTTTTAAATTTGTAGTGCCCATAAGACAATCTGCCTTCCGTCAGTTGGGATATACATATGACTCAGTGGAGAAGTTTGGCCAATACATAAATTTGGGAGTTATGAGCTTATAGATGGATAGATAAAGGGTATATAAGACCATGATTTGGAGGTAAAAGTGAAATAGTCAAGCAAATGTAAAAATGGGCTTAGACATAAGTTTTTATAAATAAATAACATTTTTTCCTGAATATATTTGTTATAGTAAATCTTGGCCATTGCTAATTATACAGGAAAATCAGGAGAGGTGGTTAAGTAAATACCCAGAATTTTAATACTAAATGTTATAGAGGCTAGGATGATGAACTCTAAAGTTTTCAGGAAAGTATAGGTGATTGTTCATATGTTTGTATGTTTGTTTGTTTGTTTGTTTTAATACCATCAAAAGCATATAACATGTCAGCATTTTCATCTTTTAGTTGTAAGGCTCCTCTCTATGATTTGGCTGCTCATGAAGACAAAGTTCTGAGTGTAGACTGGACAGACACAGGGGTAAGACATTATGAGTTATTTGGTGAAGAAGAAACTACATAAAAATAAATGTGGTGCTTGTGTTTACAGATTTAATAGTTTCAATATATCTGATATTTATAATTCTGTATTCTAAGTTTCCATTAACATTATTCGTAAAATCTCATATCTCATTCAAAGAAGAAACAAATTTATCCTTTAATATTAAGTATATTAAAATTTGAAGTTTTTGAGGCAGATTTTTTTCTTATGAGCATGTTGACAAAATTTTGAAGCAAGTTTTTTTCATTTAATGAAGTGTTTCAAGTCAGTAAACTTGGTACTTTAAAATGGATTGAAATATTTCCCATTTAGAAAAATCTTATGTAATAAATCTAGACTTAAAATTTATTTAAAGAATTTACAATCAAATGTTTATGTATACATGTAAGATCTTATTGCCTAAGAATTCTTTTCAAATCTATAGGCATTAGGGCTTACTTGAATAATTTATAATAGTCATTTACCTGTAAACAATGTGCTGTCCTTTAAAAACTTAATTTCGTAAATGAGAAAAACTATATTACACTTCAAACTTTTTACATTTGTTAGGAAATGCTTCATACAAAGTACAGTAGCATATTATTACACCTTAACCAAATTTAAATGATCACTTTAAAAGTTTTAATATGTTGTATTATAATGTAGTATTAAAATTGAGGTATCAGTACATTTAAGTGTTGTTTCTTAATGCAAGTTAACTGCTCATCTTAATTGCTCTGTAATCAAAATCACCATTATTAGGTTTACCATCATATGAAATAACTTTCTTCCGTTTGTGGTTTTTTTCTTTTTCTCTCCTTTTATGCAGTTACTTCTGAGTGGAGGAGCGGACAATAAATTGTATTCCTACAGATACTCACCTACCACATCCCATGTTGGGGCATAAATAAATCTGACCAAGAGATTCTTCCTATAAATGTGATTGATAGAGGATATTCAGATTACATTAATGCAGATCATCCTTGATAATAGTTGTTATTATCTTTTTATTTTGTATTTATTATGTAACAGTTTGCATTTATAAAATATAAAATGTGGCCTGCATTCTCTACCTTGTGTAAACTCTTGAAATTAAACTGAGTTTATTTCTTTTTAAAGGTATTGGTTTGAATTAAGATTTGCTTTTGAAATGCTATAACAGTGCTTATTAAAAATACAGTACTTGTCCTGTTTTTTTGTTTTTGTTTTTGTTTTCATTTTTATCTATTTGTAGAGAGGGGAAGGGAGGGAGGAAAAGGGAGAGAAACATCAATGTGTGGTTGCCTCTTACATGGCCCCCACTGGGGACCTGGCCTGCAACCCAGGCATGTGCCCTGACTGGGAATCAAACCTGCAACCCCTTGGTTCACAGGCCTGTGCTCAATCCACTGAGCTATACCAGCCAGGCAAATTTTTTTTTCATTTCTGATGAAGAAACTTTAAAGTTAGCTGTTTTAAAAAGCATCAAAAAAAACTAATGTATTTTGAAAATCCTATAGGCTCCACCAAAAAACTGTTAGACCTAATAAGTGAATTTGGCAAAACAGCAGGGTACAAAGTCAATATTCAGAAATCAAAGGCATCTTTGTACACCAACGGTGAAATACCAGAAACAGAAAAAAAATCCTATTTGATACATCAACGAGAAAAATAAAGTACCTAGGAATAAACCTAACCAAGGAGGTAAAAGACCTCTACTCAGAAAACTACACAACATTGAAGAAAGAAATTAAGGAAGACACAAACAAATGGAAGCATTTACCTATAGATTGGAAGAATTAACATCAAAATGTCCGTATTATCCCAAAGCAATTTATAGATTCAGTGCAATCCCTATTAAAGTACCAGTGGCATATTTCACAGGTAGAGAACAAACATTTCAAAAACTTATTTGGAACCATAAACAACCCGAATAGCTGCAGCCGTTTTGAGAAGAACAGGTAGGAAGGATCACAATACTTGATACCAAATTATACTGTAAGACTGCTGTAATCAAAACAGCCTGGTACTGGCACAAGAACAGACAAACAATGGAACAGATTGGAGAGCCCAGAAATAAGTTCAAGTGTCTATGGTCAATTAATATTTGACAAAGATGGCACAAGCATACAATGTGAATAAAGATAGCCTCTTCAACAAATGGTGTTGGGAGATCTGGACAGCTACATGGCAAAAAATATGAAGCTTGGCAACCAACTTACACCATAAACAAAAGTAAATTCAAGGTGGATAAGATTTAAATATAAGTTGACACCATAAAAGTCCTAGAGAAGATAGGCAAGAAAATCTCAGATATTCCATGTAACAATATTTTCACTGATACGTCCACCAGAACAAGGGGCATAAAGAAAAGAATAAACTAGTGGTATCTCATCAAAATAAAAATGTGCACAGCTAAAGAAAACAATGTTAAGATGAAAACAGAACCAACCACGTGGTAAAACATTTCCCAGTAATAGACAAGGGTTTGATCTCCAAAATCTCACAACTCAATACCAGGAAGACACAACCCAATTAAAAAACGAGCAAAGAACTTGAACAGACACTTCTCCAAGGAGGACATACAGAGGGCCCAGAAACATATGAAAAGATGCTCGGCATTACTAGCTGTCAGAGAGATGCAACCCAAAACCACAATGAGCTACCACTTCACACCATTGAGAATGGCTATCATAAAGCAACAAACAAGTGTTGGAGAGGATTTGGTATCAAGAAAAGGGACCCCTAGTGTACTGTTGGTGGGAATGCAGGCTGGGGCAGCCTTCTACTGTGGAAAACAGTATGGAATTTCCTCAGAAAGCTAAAAATGGAACTGCCTTTTGATCCAGTGATTCCACTGCTGAGATTATACCCTAAGAACCCTGAATCACCAATCCAAAAGAACCTCTGTAACCCAATGTTCATAGCAGCACAATTTACAATAGCCAAGTGCTGGAAGCAACCTAAGTGCCCATTGGTAAATGAATGGATCAAAAAACTATGGTACATTTACACAATAAAATTCTATGCAGCAGAAAGAAGGAAGGAACGCCTACCCTTTGTGACAGCATAAATGGAACTGGAGAGCATTATGCTAAGTGAAATAAGCCAGGCAGTGACGGACAAATACCATCTGATCTCACTTGTAACGGGAACCTAGTCAACAAAACAAGCAAAATAATAACCAGAGACATTGAAATTAAGAACAAACTGACAGTAACCAGTGAGGAAGTGAGAGGGAATATTGGGTATAAAAGGGGAAAGGTTTTCAGGAACATGTGTAAAGGACACATGGATAAAACCATTTCATCAGGTGTGTGACATAGCCCCCTATCTTGTTTCAGAGCTTCTTGCCGGGTATAATGGCGATCTCGCACACACTCTTGTTTGTGTGGAAGTCATTGCCCAGGCATGTGTAGTACTTCTCGATGATGATCCAGGCCACCTTCTTCACAGTCTTGGTGTGAACGTGGCCCATCTTGACAGGTCCCTCCATCATTTCTTAATGACAGTACATTTTAATGTCTAAAAAGTGAATAAAGGTAACTCGAAAACTCATACCCAAAGTTTTTCTCACGTAGTTCAAATTGGTATAAATTTCTTCATTATCTGTAGTTCCTGGAAATCTTAATTTTCATGGGACAGAAAGAAATTTATATTTCTATTTCGGATGGTCCCTGAATGTGCCTTATAGGCAGAATTACTGAAAATATTTTTACTCACCCAACCTGGGTTGTTCAAATGTAGTATGCATACATTAGGTGGTCAAAGTAAAAGTAAAGGGGCCTAAAGAGACAGGGGAAAGAAGGAAGTGGCAGCAAGGACTACAGGTCCATTACCTACTCTTGATCTTGGTTCTAAGGCAGAATATAATGCTGGATCAGGCATTGTTGCTTGGGATGGATATAACACTAGCTACCAAGTCTCTTGGAGAAGAACTATTTGATCTCTGCCGAACTCTCACCTTGTGTAACTCAAGGGGTTAGATTCATTTCACAACAGGAAGAACATGAGGCCTACAGAAGCCTAGAAGACTTAGTCCTCTCAAAACTTTCTCCTACTTCTCATGTTCCACCTTTTCTTCAAAACTAAGCCTCCTTGTCAATTGTCCATTTTCCTTCATTTAATTACACCAGAGATAGGGCATTAAGTGGACTAATTTATCCTAAGACTCGGAGAAAAGAGTGAAGCTGATATCCCAGTACTGGGTTAAGTTAGGAACCAGACAGTGTATTGTCTAGGACCTGCAGGACTTTACAGTGCTATTTATGCCATCTTGCCATAGTAATACAGTTCATAAACATTGGTATTTGCTCTTACTTCAAATAGAGCTTAAAGAAATTCCTTTTCTTACCATTTAATAAAAAATGCCCTAATTTAAAATTAGGCTCAAAGTTTATCTCATTGCCGAATAAGTCAGTTCAAAGAAAAAGGCTGAACTTCTACCATGTACCAGGGTTTGAGCCAGAATGGAGGAAAGGGGGAAGAAAACCACAAGACATAGACACCGCCTTCAAATAGAGTGCCTTCACACTCACATGGGAGATACTGACTTAATAATTAGTTACAACTCTGACCAGGTAGATCAGTTGGTTACAGCATTTTCCTAATACCACAAGGTTGTGGGTTTGATCCTCGGTTAGGGCACATACAGGAATCAACCAATGAATTTGTAAATGAGTGGAACAATTAACTGTATCTCTCTCAAATTAATGAGTTTTGTTTTTTTTTTAATAGAAAAAAGCCCTGTCTCAGTGCATTGAGCACCACCTGTGAATCCAAAGGTCCAAGGTTTGATCCCAGGTCAGAGCACATGCCTGGGTTGCTGGCCAAGTGCCCAGTTGGGGATGTGCAAGAGGCAGCCAATCAGTTTCTATCCATCTCTAAAAAGAAATAATTCTTTAAAAAAATTAATTAGAACAATGTTTTAACTGCAAAGAAAAATGTAAATGTAAGGTAGAAGGATAGTATAGAGAGGGGAGCTATTAGCTTTGAGGGCAGCAAGCTGGTTGTCAAAAAAAGGCATTGTAAAGTGACATTTGAGTCAGAAGTGGACAGATAATTGGTTGGGGGGTGGAGATGCAGGTTATTTCTGGCAAGGGAACAGCAGCACAGAAGGAGCAGAAATGAGAGCTGAAAAGTATTGTGAGAACGGAAGTAGAGCATAATATTTCCTCATATGCTAAGAATTTTATTTTTGTCTTCCTTTTTAAAATAAAGCTGCCTTCCAGCCCTGGTGTAGCTCAGTGGATTGATCACAGGCTGTGAACAAAAGTGACGCTAGTTCAATTTCCAGTCAGGGCACATGCCTGGGTTGCAGGCCAGGTCCCCAGTGGGGTCAACGTGAGAGGCAAACACACATTGATGTTTCTCTCCCTCTCTTCCTCCCTCCCTTCCCCTCTCTAAAAATAAATAAATACAGTCTTAAAAAATAAAAATAAAGCTGCCTTTCAGAACTTATCTAAGACATGATGTTCTTTTTATATTGGAAACTATAAAACCTGACTGTGATGACTACCTAGAGATTATTAGAGAAGAAACTTCAGTTGTTTATTCTATGTAGAATGTAGAAAAACATTATAGTAGCTTTTCTATGAGTAGATGACCAGTATTTGCTTTGTCATATCCTTTTTGTTTGTCATCCCATTTTGGAATGACCATTTTGGAACTACTGTCAACAATGCATAGTAATATACAAGGGGGGACCGGAGAAATGAAATTACATTCTGGAGGGTTGGCCTCTTGTAGTGCAGGCTTCCCCTGCTAGGTGAGTGTTCTAAGAACCCATCTGTATCAGTGGACCAACTAGCGTTGTTGTGAGAAGCTGCATTCGGCTTCAGTGAATTTTTCTGAAGAGTCTTTCAATGCAGTTGCCCACTTCATGATGGGTGATTTATGAGTGTACCTGCCCACACTGCATTGAGTGTCCAGCAGTTTTTGACCAAAAACAGCAGGACCCCTATGCTCCACCCTCTCTATTCACCCAATCTCACCTCAGGCAACCTTTTTTGTTTGTTCATTTGTTTGTTAGTTTCCCCAGTAGAAAAGAGTCCTCAAAGAGAGACATTTTGCCTAAGTGGAAGAGGTGAAACCAAAAAACGACAGAAGCACTAAAAGCCATCAAAATCTATGAGTTCAAAACCTGTTTTGAACAGTGGAAAAAACATCTCTATAGGTGTGTTGTATCAAATAATACTTGA